TGTGTGCGTGTGTGTGTGTGATCGTAAATGTTCGTTAGTGTAAACATTAGATAAACAAACACCATTGTTAACGCACTCGCATTTTTTTCCTTCCAGTTTGAAGCAAGCATCACACACACACACACACACACACACACAATTCCATCTCTTTCCAATAAATGAACTTGAAAACTTCAACCATTTTGGAATTTGGATCATTTAAGTTCGAAGATTCATTCCGCTATTCATTGTTAATTAAGCTTTATTTTTAGCTGAATTTAGTTATTCATTGGTACAAGCATTCAGGTATTTTAAGTTTGTACCAGCTGTGTATCATACGATGCGATTTGACATGATTCAGGAACGTTGTAGAAGTTGGAGGTGGAGGTGGTGGAGGAGACGTGGAGTTAATTGTGACCTGGTTGTTGTAGCATATCCGGTCACGTGGCATGTATCTCAACTGGGCAATCACTCATCACGTGACGATCGTTACGATGGCGCGAACCTGGATATTTTTGCGCGAAACAACACAAACAAACGATTTCATAATGACATCAATGTTTCACGCAATTATTTTTAATATTTTATTACGATTCAATTGTTATATTATCTGTGAGTTCATATTCTTTAAAATTATTTAATCACACTTCATTATAACTAGGCATTTATAATTTGTCTATAGACAAAAGTGGTAGAATATTTCAAATTAATTTCTTAAATCATTATTAACTGAGGCGCTAAATGAAAGTGTTCCCTGACATCTCATCGTACGAGACATTTCATCATTGCAAAATTTCTTCATCATTGAATTCATCATTGCTCAATTCAACGTTATAGCAAATCATCATTTGAGTATTTCAACACCATAATATTTCATCATTGTATAAAATGCATTTAAACCGCACGTAGTGGAAATTCTCGATAAATTGTATAAGTGTATGAAAGCGAATCGTGCTTATTTATTTTTAAAACTATTTACCAATTTTTTTAATTTTATTTATTTATTTTTTTATTTTTGGTGTGTGGATGATTTTATGAAAAAAAATTTAATCTTAAAAATATGAAAATATAATGATAAAGTTTATTTATTTAGATTCAATACCGATACAGTGGACCTTCTGCTGCTGACAGTCGCCAATACAATTTCAATGGGCATTGAGCTTAGCAATTTGCCAATTGAATTTATATTGGTTATCTCAGGACGATTCATAATTTACATGGGCGACTGCTTATTAATTTGCCCAGTGAGAAAATGTACCACGGTGTCCAAAGCATTTAAATTAACTTTATCTTTAAATTAAAAATTAATTGTCTAGATTATATACTCTAGCTAAGAAAGAGGGCACTACTGACACCATAGGTATATCAAATCATAATCTTATAAGAAAATTCTTTGCTAGGTCAGTTTTTCGATGGTCTTAAGATCACATAGAATCTTTTTTTTATTTTTGGTGAGTGGATGATTTTATGAAAAAAAATTTTTCGTTTTTCGTTTAGACTGAAAATTTAATTTTTGATGCTATATGCCATTTGTGTACAAAATCGACCGGAGGTTGTATGCTGGAAAGATTTTAAAAGCCAATGTGCTAGTAATTAAACAAATATCCAACCGAGTTGTTATTAAATTATTTATTTAGTCATTTGACTGATTGTGAATTGATGGGTGAGCAACTCAGTAAATAATATCCACTTTTTTAAAAAAAGCCAAAAATCAATAAATTTATTTTGGTTTTGGTTAAAATTTTTGGAAGAAATAAAACTAAAAACAAAAATAACATTAATAGTAAATAATAATAAGTAAATTAAATGATATAAAGACAATCGTAACGTAGTAAAAAATAAAAAAAAACAAGCATAAACGTTTAAATCGAAACATACGTTAAAAATAAAACAGAACATTTGAAATGGTAAATGGAATAAATAAATTAACAAATGAAAAGCTGTCGTCGTGTCATGATCAGAACTAGTATGATCATCATCATCACCGTCAACATCATCTATGGTGAGATATTGATGGTGGCCCTTGCTGAGTCCAATGGAATTGTTGTTGAAATGAGGTCAGGTTGATTGTTGGCCATCCAATAATATTTTGTGAAACTAGGTCGATGAACTCCAATGGGGTTATTCCCTCCATTAATGATGTCTTTGTTGGTGATGTAGTTTTTAACGTTAATGTAATTGTTGTTATTGACGTGATTGTTATTGATGCAATTGTTGTTGTTGATGTTTCGAGGAATGCAATTAATGTTGTAAATTCTGTTGATCACTGACTGACCACACTCAACGTCACGATCGTTATGAACGCTGCTTCTTCTACTGCCGATATTAACTACATTGCTGTTTAAACTGGACACGAATCTGCTCAATACGTTGACCATCATTGTTCTGTTGTTGAAGTTTGAAGGGGATGTTGTTGTGTTTGTGAGGTTGCTGGCCAGGTTGTTGGGGATGATGTGGTTCTGTGAAATGTCGTAGTAAGCAGGAATGTACTGCTCTGGAGAATTTGTGAAGTATCCATGATTTCTAGGGATGGGATGTTTTGCAGGAATGTGATGATGGATTGGAACTGCTGAAGCTTGCTGAACCGTAACTACTCGATATTCGTTATTGTTATACTTTTTGAATATGTTATGTATCCTCGGCTCCAGGCTGGCGACGGTGTCGATTGCTGGCAGTGGGAAAACATTTCTACCGTTAGTTGGTCTGTGCAGAGTTGTCGTTTTGTTGCAGTTGTGGTTGTTGTTGTTGTGGTTGAACACATGTTCATCTGGCGTTGATAGAAACCTGCGTAATATATAATCACTACCACCGCTTCTATGAAACACCGGACCTCCATCCATCTTACATTTGTTGATGATGTACGTTGCCAAGACAACCAGGCCGGCCAATGAAACAATTCCGGAAGCAAGGATCAGTCCCACTTTGTTCAGTCTCCATTGGGAGTCTATGTTGCTGAAGAGGGAGTGTGTTGATGAAGATGTTGATGATGATGTTGATGATGAAAAATTGATTAAAGATGATGACGATGATGTTGGCGTTTTTGATGTTGTACTCATTGTTGATGTTATCGGCGATTCGTTAGTTGTGCTACTGAAAACATTTGTTGCTTTTATTTCTTCTTCTTTGTTTTCACGTAGAACCACCACTCTAAAATGGGCCACTGACGATCCGAAACCGTTAATAGCCGTACATCGGTATGTACCAGCGTCTTCAACCTTTGCTTTCTTAATACGCAACCTTCCATTTCTAACAAGAGATGGTACAACTTTTTGATAACTTATGTCCAAATGTGATAAGTTGTTGTAGTCAGTCGGTGTTTTATTATGATCTGATGTTATTTGTTTCTCCCAAATGATGAAAATGTTGTGCTGAGTTGCAGAGATGGGACATTCGAGTTTGATCTGTTTTCCAGTTTCAGTAAAGTGCAGTTGTTGGTAGTGTGGCTTCATGGAAGGAGGTTCCCTCATTGGAATGTTTTGATTCATTTTTCTCGCCTCAACACTGACCGTCCACAAGATGAGGATGCTGATGAGAGGGGCCATCTGGGAAGTCAGCATCATTTTCGTCGTTTTTGGTGTCAACTATTACAAATGCTCTCAAGTTTTGTCACTTGTTATTGAACGCTCAAGATAGAATGTGAATTATTTTTCTTGCTGACTAAGTTTTTCAATCTGTGCTGGTACTTATACCCGACGATAAATATAATGATTAATACTTTTAAAACTTTAGAGTCTGAAAATTGTTTTCAAATAATATGGAAGTCCTCCACCGCGTCTTATATACTGCCTCCAAGTCTCTCCTCTGTTGCATGCCTCTAAAACATAACAACACCTAGCATCAGCATCATTTTCACTATCGTGAGTTATCATCTTCATCATCGATAACATCATCAGTATCTTCATCTTCCTTTCTTCACACCTTCAAAACCAGCTGGTGATTCATCACCTGATCAGGACTGCCAATATTATTACTACCAATGTTCCAATTGCTTCAATAATGATAATTATAACTTTCAACGAACAAAGGTGAAACTAATTAAAACATATTCGGCGTGCCACTTAATTAGCGCTGTCATCACCTTCATCAATTAACACTTTGTTGATGGGAAAATACCAACATATTTATCCTTATAATCGATAGTCATTAAGAAGTTCTTCGGCAACATATGTTGAAGCTTTATGAACAGTTGTTTGTTTTTTCTTTCCAGTGCTTTTGCCGATGTTGCAAACATAAATGTAGAAACAATTTCTATTTGTGTTATTAGAAAAGTTTTACTATTTAGTGAAATAGTTATTAATTCTGGTAGTTGTGACAGCGCAGTAGCAGCAGCAGAAATTGCAACGCTTATTTTTATCTCAATGGTTTTAAATATACACATCCCGTATTATTATTATTCATATGAAAATAAGCATTAGTTCGTTTAAAGTTCGAATTTTTGGTTTGTCAAGAACGAAACGTCATGAGTTGTTTTTAAAAAAGTTAAATAAAAATACTTTTTTCTTGAAGGCAAACTTTTTTAGTTGTGGTCATCTCGCGTGCGCTTGTTGAATGTCAAATCAACAATTAAGCAAGGACAAAGACAAGGACAAGGACAAGGACGAGGATGAGGAGACGGAACAAGAAGGAAAGAGTGCCAACTGTAAATTAACAAAATAATTTTAACACATTTTTATCAAAAATGCTGAACGATGATTTCCGATTTTAATTTCCATTTTAATTTATGACGCGGATAAATTTTGAAGGCCTATCATGCAACACGACACGAATCGTTCAGTCGAGAGACCCAGATAACAGGGAGTTGTTCCTGAAGATGGCGCTCATCGAGCTCATCGTTCACACGCTCTTCCTCGTCATCATTATATTGAGTTCGTTTTCTCATCACACATCTTTCAATTTAATTTTCAAGATCTCATCAACTTTTATTTATTTAATTTATTTTTTATTATTTTTATAACTTTGTACCATGTTGAATAGCATTTTTTAATTGTTGAAAGTTTGCAAATATAGGAATGAAGAATAAAAGAAATCTTAACTCAACAAAAAATAACACCAAAATCATATTGAAAAATATGCGGAAAATTCAATACGTGTTAAAGATGACATAAGTTGATATAAAAAACTGAACCATAGTCGCCGACAGTCCAGGCTTCAAGCAGGTGTACGACATAACCAACTCCGTGAACAGCCTGTTTGTGCAGAGTCCCGTCAGGAAAGAGAAGCCTTACGTCACATTCAACAACATTTCGAGAAGGGAGGAGGTCTGGGATGTAGGTGCTCTTCATTCGTTCTTCCACCTTTCCTTATTCATACATTTAATGCGAAGAGAAATAATGGAAATGAATGGTGAATGGTGGCAATATTACAAGTTTTTGTTAGTAAAAAAAGGTCGAATATTAAATATTATTAAACTTTTGATGAGGCAAAAATATTTAAATGGAATTATATTTAATTTTGTAATAAAATAAATATATCTAGAAAATATGTATATTTTTTATATACATTCAAAAATAACAAATAAATTAATATATAAAAATAAATAAATAAAAATGAATAAATAAATATAGATAAATAAATATGTATATGTAAGACATTTAAGTTTCTCTCCACCATACCTACATACATCCAAGTACTTAGAAAACGGCCTGATAAGTGGTCTCTTTTGGGAGATCGACGAAGGTAAAGGAACAGATTCAGTAGACATCGAGATCAGCAACATTCTCTACAAGAACACCCTAGTTGACTCCGCCCAGATCAGGCAAATCAGGGTTGTGAACACCACCTGTACTGTCCTCATGAAACCTGTCCTTTGCTACTTCCCTTACGGGGTTGGCGGGGTTTACAAAGAAAAACTGAAGGGAACTTACGGAACGTTAGCATTTGCGATTTCATTACCGTTCGCTTTGTTGGTACAGTGTATCTTCATTATTCTAATTTATATAAAAATAATATGATAGACTTAATAATAATAACTAAATAACCTCTCAAAGATTTTAAAGCATTTTTAACCATATTTTATAGGTTTAATTCATAGAATTTATATTTTAATTTAGCTTAACAAGGAAATTATCCTGTTACTCAATCTAGCCAACTGTACTAAGTAAATAAATTAAAATTAAATGCAGAGAATTTTCAAACTTCAACAAACTTGGCTTCGGGAAGTACTACGGCAAGGTGTCGGTGTACGGTAATGAAGGTTACACCTACCAACTGCCCCAATCTAAAAGTAAAGTGTTATCCAATCTTGGAACCATGAAATCTAATCAGTGGCTGGACAGGTCCACGCGAGTTTTGCTTATCGAGTTCATTCTGCATAACAAAAATTTGCACAGCTACTGCTTCGTCAAGTAGGGCCGGGTACTTCCGTATTGTTGTTAAATTAGATTTAACAAATTATTGTTTACTTTGAAAGAAAAAAAAATAAAATTTTTAAACATTAAAAAATGTTTTCTGCAGTTCATGTTTTTACGAAATAAAATTGTAAAAATTTATTACTGCAGTTTAGCCGTGGAGTTCCCAGTGACTGGTGGCGTGATGACCTCATACAACTTGCGCGTCGTTCGCATTGCCAGGTTCAATTTCAGCGAAATCTTGATTCTTCTTTTGGAAATTTGCTTCTACCTCTTTATCTTCTACTATCTATTCGTCATTTTTCTAGAAGTTGGTTCCATTTATTTTAGTCACTTAAAGCACTGAAAATTGCGTTTGACTGATATTTAATCAGAGCGAAAGCTGTTCTGTAAATTGAGCGAGACGAATAAATAGACGATCGTTTAAAATATTTCAAATTTCATTATCGAAACTATAAAGATTTGTACTATCTCATAAAATTGCACACTTTTATAATATAATTTTTGTTACGCTATATTTAATTTATTTTTAATAGATGGTTTGTGTTGTTTGTACAAATATAATTGCACATGTAACATAATGTTTTTCAACGTTTAAAAAAAATACAAAAAAGCATACAACACCAGAAAATCACAGGCAAAACACAGAGGCAAACAAACAAAAATACAGATACATGCAAACACACAGAAAGTGACAAACATCAAAACACTGCCAGATAGTAATCACAAGCAAAACAAAGAGACAAACAAACAAAAATACAGATACACGCAAACACACAGAAAGTGACAAACATCAAAACTCTGCCAGATAGTAGCGTTCGGGTTTTCATACTTCCTCTCAATTGCCTCCTTCATCGACATGTTCATCGTGTTTGTCAGCCTCTCGTGCCTCTGCGTGCAGGTCTACGGGATTGTGGCCACGAAAGGCAAGGAGGAGACAGCCCTGCAAACCGACTCCATCATCTGGCTTGGAGAACTGTACAGTTTCTACGATAGTGCATTATCTATTGTATTCGGATTGTCATTTCTCAAGGTTATCAAGTTCATTATCGAGATTAAGTGTCGACGATTTTTTAATTGTTTTTACTGTTTTGAATGATAGTGGAAATGATGAAGGTCGAAATTAAAACGATGATTGCGATGAGTTTGTTTTGAATGTTGTTATATTATAAAATGCGCAATCCAGCTCTTCAAGTATTTGAATTTCAACGCGGCCTTGTGGAGTTTGTCGAAAACTGTTTACCTGTGCAGTAAAGAATTGGCCTCAATGGTCATTCTCACAGGTTCGAAACTGTAATAACCCATGACTCTTCATACAAATGATGATTGTTGAATACTATAAAAAAGCAACCAGATTCGGATTATTTTAAAACATTTATTTCAAACCTGACAGGAGTTGTTTACTTCGCTTTTTCAGCAGCAGGAACAGTTCTTTTTGGATACGACTATGAAGAGTTCTCGACTATTTCTTTCTCCGGGTGACTTATTATTTCAATAGTTATATTGCTCAATGTCACATCAACATCGACTATAACAATGTTTTGAGTTTTATTCATCTATTTATTTATTTATTTATTCACAAAACCAGAGGGCTAAAAAAAACCACTTATCCGGTAAGAAAAATGAAAAAAAATGTTCGAAAAATGAATCGTACGTCTATGAATTAAGTAAAAACATAAGATAATAACTAGATTAAAATATCTAGATTAAAATTTAGCCCGTATGTTTCATTCTATTTTATGTTGATAGTAATTTTCACACCCATAAACATAATTCAAGTTTTTTTTTCTAGTTATTTATATTTAAATAAAAATTAATATTTTATAATATTTTGTGTAACGCATGAGCCAACACACACACATAAAACACATAGCGCTTCCATGATCCGTGTGATCCTTGGAGACATGGATTTCCAGTTACTGAAAGCAGGAACAAAAGAAGTTTCCGGAATGTTATTCATCCTCAGTTTTGAATCGATCATATTCTTCGTCTTCCTCGCCGAATTCCTCGCCATCATCATGTTCGCCTACTCACAAGTCACCTTGCTTCACCAGAAGCAGAAGTTTGAGATGCAGATGCTTGAGTACACGTACAGGGTAGGTAGGGTCTCTTTTCAGATATTTCTACTTTTTATTTGTAGTATCGTTATGTTTTAGCGTCGTATTTTGGCGGTATTGTGATTCTATATTGTATTGTTGATTCTATAGTATCGTTATTTTTTGTAGTATCGTTATTATTTTCAGTATTGGAACCTCACGTTGAAATAATATTTTTGCATCGTCATTTAAAGTTAGCCCTTAATAGTTTTGTTCGTCATCGTTTGGTTCATAATTTTCTAATTTATATTTCTAGCTTGATTTAATGAATTTTCAAACCATTCGGAAATTGTTATTTTCAACGTATGTTGATCTTTGTTGGTTAGATTTAAATTTGTTTCCCAATTTACTAAGATATCGAATTCTAGATTTTCAAATATTATTTACTTAATAAAGAAATTAGCCCAGCTGTTCCACAAAAAGTACAACGAACCACCTCTCATCTCCGTCAAGGAATGGAACAAAACGATGATCGAGTGAGTGCTTGCTCCCCGTTCCATCATGTTGTTTTCCACATGGTTTAAATTTCCAACAATAATTTAATGCTTTTCAATGAAAAACATTGCTGATGCTTCATAGAAATGAAAATCCTCTTCAACGTAAACAACACGGTGAAATAAATTCTCCGTCAATAATTTGTCAATTTAATTAAATTATTTAAAAAATAATTTTGTTACGTTGACATTAAGCTTGGGTCATCCAGCCAACGCAGCGACCACCATATTGAACAGATACAGCGCGCAAGGCATCACCAAAGATAGCTACCTGACCTACCCCCAGCAAGATGAACTGACCTACGAGTTAGAGTTCTACATGAAGGCTGGTTATGTTCAACCTTGAATTTTTTGCTTGAGGTCTTTACCCTAAAATATAGTTGTTAAGGTTTTTGAATGATTTTTTTGTAAAAATTTATTACCAGTCGGCATACATGACAGAGAAATTGAAGATGCTGTTGATGGGCTATCATAGGTTGAACAATTTATTCCAATCCAAGGTTGACCCCTACACCAGGGCTCAGTCAAAGATCAAGGGCGGAAACATTCTTGGCCGTATGCTGATTGACATCAAGAAGGTGAATTGGTGGATGAACGTATGAATGAATGAACAAACGAACGAACATACAAATAAATGAATGAATAAATGAATGAATAAAGTCTAAAAGTATTATTATTTCTCTTCAGTTTAAATATTCATGCCTAAACTAATTTTTAAATATATTTTTTCAATAATCAATAATCAGGCTTTGAGAAAGAATCGATCAAAACGAGATAAAGTCAAACAGTCGATACAGACAGAGTAAGAGCCTTGAACCTACTTTTTCATTAAAATACTTTTTTATTTGCACGGATGAATGCATTTTCATTACCAACTTGATTTAGGCTGGCAATAACAAGAAATCTGCTCAAACCTGAAAAAGCAACTTTCCACTGAAGTCATCTGTACAAAATATATAACAATATGTCATTAATTAATTTTAGAAATCGAACGGTTTGTTTTGGTTACCATTTATTAAGTTTATTGATTATGTTTAGTTGAATTATTAGTCATTTTATATGAACCTTTAATTTAAGACATTGAATGAAATTAAAATTCACAAGTATATTGGAGGGGGGAACAATTGAGTCACACACACGCGTAACAGCAATCTACACTACAGTAAATGTTATTAATTGATTTATCTGTTGACTGTTTTTGAAACACCATTCTTCCCATTTAATTTTCTCTAGTTTGTTAAACATTAAACTTGCTTTTGACGAAAAATTCAAACACTGTTCAAACAAATACTATTATTCCGTTCGTTGAGTTCAACTTGAGACTTTTGAGCTTGTTATCATTGTTGTATCTTGGTGAACACTGCAGTTGAAAAAGAAAGTTGAAATTTATACAGCACTCTGAAGCAATGCACAGCTGGTATTAACGTTCCACGAAAGCGCTGCGTCTTCATTACACACAAGATTTTAAAAATATACTCTAACTCAAATATTCAATTTAAATTTTGTTTTATTTGTCTTTGGAGGTTAAAATTGTTTACCAAGTTAACAAATGCTATTACCGAAAAATTTTAAGTTTAAGAAAAAAATATTAGATACACGCTTGCTTTCTATCTTTATAAGCATAACCCTCTGTTTTATAGTTAAGTTTTGACGATTCTATATTTAAGGCAAATTAGAAAAAGCATAAAGAAAGAATAACCGCTAGTTACCACAGCTAAAAATGCCACCGCTGTAGCTGCTACAGCATTGTTTTGAAGCTACCAATTATAATAATTTATTTTATTAACATTTTCGAAAACCGTATTATTGAGACAATAAACTGAAAATAAATGATTGTAACATTAAAAATAGATTCAAAAACAAGCAGAATAGACGTAGGACTATCTTGAAACACAAAACTGCCAAATTTTTCTTTATTAACAACTAACCACATTAAAACTAATGTTCAAGTGATTGAACACTACAAAGTAAAACTAATGAAAAAGATGACAGCGCTAATTAAGTGACACGCCGAATATGTTTTAATTAGTTTCACCTTTGTTCGTTGAAAGTTATAATTATCATTATTGAAGCAATTGGAACATTGGTAGTAATAATATTGGCAGTCCTGATCAGGTGATGAATCACCAGCTGGTTTTGAAGGTGTGAAGAAAGGAAGATGAAGATACTGATGATGTTATCGATGATGAAGATGATAACTCACGATAGTGAAAATGATGCTGATGCTAGGTGTTGTTATGTTTTAGAGGCATGCAACAGAGGAGAGACTTGGAGGCAGTATATAAGACGCGGTGGAGGACTTCCATATTATTTGAAAACAATTTTCAGACTCTAAAGTTTTAAAAGTATTAATCATTATATTTATCGTCGGGTATAAGTACCAGCACAGATTGAAAAACTTAGTCAGCAAGAAAAATAATTCACATTCTATCTTGAGCGTTCAATAACAAGTGACAAAACTTGAGAGCATTTGTAATAGTTGACACCAAAAACGACGAAAATGATGCTGACTTCCCAGATGGCCCCTCTCATCAGCATCCTCATCTTGTGGACGGTCAGTGTTGAGGCGAGAAAAATGAATCAAAACATTCCAATGAGGGAACCTCCTTCCATGAAGCCACACTACCAACAACTGCACTTTACTGAAACTGGAAAACAGATCAAACTCGAATGTCCCATCTCTGCAACTCAGCACAACATTTTCATCATTTGGGAGAAACAAATAACATCAGATCATAATAAAACACCGACTGACTACAACAACTTATCACATTTGGACATAAGTTATCAAAAAGTTGTACCATCTCTTGTTAGAAATGGAAGGTTGCGTATTAAGAAGGCAAAGGTTGAAGACGCTGGTACATACCGATGTACGGCTATTAACGGTTTCGGATCGTCAGTGGCCCATTTTAGAGTGGTGGTTGCACATAAAAACGAAGAAGAAGAAATAAATACAACAAATGTTTCCACTGACACAACTGTCTCAGAAGTTGCTCAGAGTTTTAACAAACCGCCGATAATACCAACAACTGGTGCAGCATCAACAACGCAAACATCATCATCTTCAATCAATTTTTTATCATTATCATCATCTTCAATCAATTTTTTATCATTATCATCATCATCATCAACTCATTCCCTTTTCAGCAACATAGACTCCCAATGGAGACTGAACAAAGTGGGACTGATCCTTGCTTCCGGAATTGTTTCATTGGCCGGCCTGGTTGTCTTGGCAACGTACATCATCAACAAATGTAAGATGGATGGAGGTCCGGTGTTTCATAGAAGCGGTGGTAGTGATTATATATTACGCAGGTTTCTATCAACGCCAGATGAACATGTGTTCAACCACAACAACAACAACAACAACAACCACAACTGCAACAAAACGACAACTCTGCACAGACCAACTAACGGTAGAAATGTTTTCCCACTGCCAGCAATCGACACCGTTGCCAGCCTGGAGCCGAAGATGCATAACATATTCAAAAGTTACAACAATAACGGATATCGAGTAGTTACGGTTCAGCAAGCTTCAGCAGTTCCAATCCATCATCACATTCCTGCAAAACATCCCATCCTTAGAAATCATGGATACTTCACAAATTCTCCAGAGCAGTACATTCCTGCTTACTACGACATTTCACAGAACCACATCATCCCCAACAACCTGGCCAGCAACCTCATAAACACAACAACATCCCCTTCAAACTTCAACAACAGAACAATGATGGTCAACGTATTGAGCAGATTCGTGTCCAGTTTAAACAGCAATGTAGTTAATATCGGCAGTAGAAGAAGCAGCGTTCATAACGATCGTGACGTTGAGTGTGGTCAGTCAGCGGTCAACAGAATTTACAACATTAATCGCATTTCTCGAAACATCAACAACAACAACCACGTTAACAACAATTGCATCAATAACAATCACATCAACAGCAACAACAACTATAACAACAAACGCGTGATCCAGGTCAACAATAACAATTATACCAAAGGCAACTCTTTTAACAAACGTATCAACGATAACATCATCTGTGATAGAAATAACACCATTGGAGTTCATCGTCCTAGCTTTGCAAAATTTCACTGGATGGTCAATAACAAAAATGATCTCATTTCAACAACTTCCTTGAACTCAGCTAGAGCAACCATAAGCATCTCGCCTTAGATAGTCATGATGGTGATTGATTTAATAGTTCTGGTGTTGATATGAAGACATTATTTTATTTTATCAATTTGAATTACCGTATTATTATTATTTTATTTTATTAATTTATTTTTATTATCATGATAAATTTGCATTACTACCTTTTTTCCTGCCTTCTTTTTATTTTGCAATTAAAATTGCTTTTGAAAAAGTTTATATACAATTAGATCACTACGTATCATCAACAATAATATTCATTCATTACGTAACGTGATTTTTACACCATTCCAGTCGTTGAGGAGTTGGAGGATGAAAGTGTGTTTTACCAAGTTTTCTATTATTTTATTCTATCTAAATTTATACATGTTTACGAAGATTCTTTTTAGTATATTTTAAAAATTAATCAACGAAAAATTGGCAACTATTTGTGACGATATATAGGGTCACTAGGGTCATGCGGTCATTCTTTAAATCATTAGTAACTTCATAAGCGTTGTTGTTTAACGTTCGCCGCCCAGTTAACTAACCGTTCTGCTAGTTTTGCCTTGTATGTTTCTTAATTTTTGAGTTTCGTTATGAATAAACTTTCATTATTTGATATTAATGTTGTTATTTTAAACAGTCAATCTCAATCAATGTCAGACTAGACTTAACAGTCTTTAAGTTTAATTAATATATAAATTAATTAATTTTAATTAAATAAAACTTAAAAGAGAAGAGAGGTTACTGATTTTAGTTTGTGGTGTTGTGTCCAGTCGTCAACCAGTCAAATTTTGGTTAAATTTAATTTTAAGCTTTGTATTATTTTTTTCTATTTATTTTTATAATATTAATTATTTAATTTTAAATTAAATAAAAATTTAACTCAATTTAAAATTTAATTAAAACAATTATCAGGGAAGTTCAAGCCAATTCTATGCTTTTTATTTTATTTGTTTGTACTAGCAGTAACAAACTTACTTTATTAAAATTTTTAAAAAATTAACATTATTTTATTAATAACTAATTTTAATATTAACAACATTAATTCTTTTACTCAATAGTCTCAATTACTGCAAGAAATAATAAATAATATAATAATAGCTCAATTATTTTTATGCTTTTTGTCGGCTTTTGTTTTTCTTATTAATAATTTTTTTTAGTTTATTCTTTATTTGTTGTTAATAAAATAAATACCTTTGAAATACAGAAAAACACTTCTTCATTTTGTAGTTATCTAGTTTTGTTTTTCATTGTTCAAAAACTAATACTAAAATATTTAAAAGTATATTGCTTTTCATCAGGTGTGGTATTCTTATTTCTGTTGAATTAATTTTGTACGTGAAAAAAAATAACTTTAAAAACTGACAAAATTGTTTTCATGAAGAAATTTCATACTGGCCAGCCTCTACAACACCACTAGGCTACACAGTTACACATTATTAATGATAAACTTTTGTTAAAGACCCAAAATTTAATAACGTTTTTATAATTCTACAGATCCACGGATTTTTATGTTTGCCCACACCTCCATTGTTTTCCATCTGGTCCTGTTGTAATGAAAATTGAACAAGATGTTCTCAATGGGAATTTCAGTCTCATGTGCGAATACATTAACAAGAGTGTTAAGATAGTAACAACTTCAAAAACAATTATAGAGGGAAGAGTATTCACAATTGATCCTGTTTCTTGTAGCTTTATTTTATATTCTATTCAAAATGATTCTTCAAAATTGATCATGATCGTTTTAGGCTTCAACATTTCTTCAATAGAAATAATCGATGATAACAAGATTTGTGATAGCGACGTTTCTGTTGAAGAAATAAACCACTTCTTCAGTAAAGGTGAGGCTGATGTTTGCTCACAGAATCAAGTATCAGTCCGCAAAATGAATCTTATTAAATGGTTCAACAGTCATTTTATACCGGTTGAGATATCTACTGTTGATGAAAACATACTTATTGTGGGCAATCAAGTTCAAATTGCTCCACCTTACACAAAGAATGATTGTTTGCATACAAATTCTATAATTTTTGGAAGGATAAGTAAACTTGTTGAAGATATGCCTGACAATCTTTAAACTTCTAAATCTTCTAAAATTTCATTACAATTACCACTTACTAATCTTCACCTGAATAATGCAAATTTTTTAAACAGTTTTTTATTCGTTTTTTTTTCACAGTTTGCCAATAAATACGTTTTATAATTCATAGACAGTTGGACCAAAATATAACAAATTTGATGGTTCCTATAAATAAATTTGTTATACAAATTTGCTCAGGGTAAATAAAATATAATAAATAACATAACGTAATATGTGTGTTACTTGTATTATATGTATATTGCAAAAAGCGTAATGCGTAAATTCATTTACTATTTTCCGGTAAATATACAGTGTTAAACTACAGTATTATGTGTCTCTGTATTTTCTTATTATTTACTTCACCAAAACCAAGAGCAGTTGTGGTAATGCCGTGAATTCTTTAAATTGATGCAGGGAACATAGAGTTATTGAGATAATAGAGTCAATCGTTGAATTACATATAGGGAGTGAAATGAAGCGTTTGATCTTAACGTTGTCTCTGAAACAATTACACCAATTCACTGTATTTTGACAATGTAAAACGTCACTCACTAGAGTACCTCAGTATCAACTGGTTCTTGTGCTTCCCGTTAGAGGGTACAGTTTGAGAGGGATGCAATAGGAATAGGGCAATTCCAGTCTAAAATTCAATGCTTTCAAATTTGGTAGCACAATCAGAATGGGTAATTCATTAATAATGTTTTAGGTTTTTAAAAGTCCTGTTTTTTCTTCCAGATACAAACACATAAATACGAAAAAGGCAACACTGCTGTTTCACTGGATTGCTAACACTGGGCATGGTTTTATAAACTGGCAAAAAAAAAATTGGAAGCAATATAATGACGCGAAAGCATCAGACCAACGTTAAGCCCGAGTACTGTAGTTCAATTCCTATAAATTGACTATTTTCAAAATTTATTGTAAAGTTTCAGAACATCTAGTAAAAATTTTGTTAAAATTTTATAAAATTATAAAAAAGTTATATTCCTAAAAAGCTTTATATTCTATTAAATCGAGCCAAACAAAAATTTTGAAAAAAAAAACATAACCTATAAATAAATTCTACACTTTACTTTAGGCAAAGACTGTTTGCTTTCTTTTTCCTTTGTCAACAACTGCCTTTTTTATCGTTGCAAATTGCAAGATGGTTGGTACCTTCTTAATCCTTTTTCATCTTATATTAAAAATTAAATAAAAAAATAATTTTATTTAATTATTTAAAGGCTGATACCGAGGCTCAAGATGCTCTTGAAAAGAAAAAAAAGCGAACTTTCCGTAAATACACGTATCGAGGTGTTGATCTGGATCAGTTGCTGGACATGAATAAGTACGAATTTGTTCAATTGACGTTCATTTGCTGATTTAAATTTTGTACGCATTTTGTACAATGTTTTGCCAAATTGTGCGAACTTGAATTTTGTCAAAAAATGGGTACTTCTGTTACATTTTTCAAAAAAAGTAAGTAAGATACGGTTTCAGATTCAGATATTTCTAAATTCTACCTTAATTAATTAATGCCTATAATTAATTCATAAGCTATCTACAAACCCTATTTACCCCAGAAGAGGCAAATTCAAAAGTTTTTTCTGTAAAATTGAACAAAATAAAAAAATACACTACAGGAGCTGCATCTATCAGCTATCTGCTATCAACCTTAGCTTTAGTTTAGTCATTTAGTGTTTAGTTGCAGTATCCTGTCAATGTGTATGAAATGGCTTAGGTGGTGCAACCCTTGAAACAAGTCCCATCTTTTTTAGATATATTGATATTCTGATGGTACTTGTCCCAAAGTTTAAACCACTGTGTCTCAATTCTTGTTGAAGCTTTTTTGAGCAATACTGTAGAAGTGATAATGCATGACAAGCAAGACATTTAAAATGATTAAAACGAAAAACATGATATAATACTTAATGAATTCAATTAAACAAAACACTTGTACTGGTTTTAAAAATTATAACTATTTTGGCATATTCATTAGTTTTAAGAATACAATTTTCTAAGTTGCTAAATATATGCGCTATAGCAATCCGATGCAAACAGCTTCAGTTTTTTGTTGCTAATTATTGCTTTCTTATTATTTATTTATAGTGATATTCAGTAAATGGTAAATGTTAAAGTTTCTTAATCTCATCAGTGCCCAGTTGATGCAGCTGTTCTCTTGTAGAATCAGGAGAAGGTTCCAGAGAGGAATCAAAAGAAAGCAGATGGCTCTACTGAAGCGCCTGCGTAAAGCCAAGAAGGAAGCTCCAGCTCTTGAAAAACCAGAAGTTGGTTACTAACTTTGGCTGTTAAATTGATAATATATATGTTACAAATATATGTTCCTCACAGTTTTCAATAAAAAATGTTTGAAGATCAATCAACATGAAAGTGTTTAAATGATTTAAACATTGAGCTTTCGGTATAGATGAGATTGAATTTTTAGTAATGTGTTTGTAAGTGTTGATACGTTAATAAAGATGAACGTCGCTTTATTTTTTACTGATTAACTACAAACTTTTTTAGTGCATCAAAACTCATTTGCGAAACATGGTCATTACCCCTGAGATGATTGGGAGCATTGTAGGCATCTACAATGGAAAAACATTCAATCAAGTTGAAATTAAGGTAACGTTTCAGAATTTGTTTAGCGATTATTACACTTTGACATTTCAAATTTAAAAAATAATGCAAAGTTTTATATTTGTTATATTGCAGCCTGAAATGATTGGTCATTATCTTGGCGAGTTCAGCATTACGTACAAGCCTGTGAAACATGGTCGTCCAGGAATTGGAGCCACACACTCATCTAGATTTATTCCATTGAAATAAACACTTCATTGATATACATTTCTTTGATGTATATTGACGATGAATAAAGCTCCTCCGAACCGTTTGTTGTGATTGTAATGTATCACTTTAAAATGTTTTTAAACCGGTTGTGCGATTCCTTAGAATTATTGATTTTATTCTTGAAGGAGCTCTGACGAGTTGGGAAAATGTGTTAGGAGTCGGTGTAATTGTGTGAAGCAATGGATATGTATTATATCCATGGTGTGAAGTCTTAACGTTATAACGTGCAGACTCGTTACGCCCGATTTAACACCGGCGAGTAGTAGACGTATAGTAAATTGATGATTTAATTTAATATCTAAATTGTGGGTTCAGTTTTCAGTTCATTCAGTTTTGTTTTGACATTTGGGTCTTGAACCAGTAAAAATTGGCTATTAGGTCACTTTAATTTACCTAAAAATAAAGCCTAGACAGTATTATATATATATATATAGGGTTTAATAGGTCGGTGGGTTTAATCCATGATTACAAACATGAATATCCAAAAAATGTAAACAATTATAGTTTGTGAGCCGATTCAAATTGGTATAAATTGCACGATTAATCATTTGTCAGATTTCATTTAACTGTTTAAAGATTGTAGACTCACGTTTTCCCTACGTAATACGAGTTTATCTATGTGTAACAATGACCGTTGAAATGAAGGTGGGTTGTTGAATATTTTATTTAATCGATATTTACACGGCAAAAGTGATAGATTTTGTACGGTCTTTTCACTCATTGAGTTTTCTTTTTAGGATCCTGCTTGAATGTTTTTTGTAAAGCACCCATTCCAGCCTCTTTGAATTTGATTGCCTCCAATCTTTGACGCTCCTCAAGGTTAACAACTGTCTTACTTCGGTTCCATGCTGTTACAAAATGTAGTTTTAAAATGAAACGAGGCTTCAAATACGAATGATAAAGATGAAGAGTCTAATGTTTGACAAACAGTTGTGTCAGTAATAGTATTAGGCATTGGATGATTTAAAATTAATTTTGCACCAACAAACTCGCGAGAACCGATCTTAAAATTAGGATGCCCATTTAATACGTGATTGAAAAAATGAGAATAAAAATGAAATATTACAAAAATAAAATAAAAATGCATTTTTAGGAATTATATATATATAATGTTTTTAGATAAAGAGAAAGAACGATTCTTGGAGTGATTAGAATGAAGATAAATAGTTAATGAGTTTCGTAACTTGTGATCAGTAAATAGATGTAATACTTCTGAAGTTTGTTGTTTGCTCAAAAGAAAATGAAATGGATACGGAAGAAACGGAAAGTTGAGTCATAACCACAACAGCAAAAAGATTTGGAACATTTTTTAAATACAAAAAGTAATCCAAAGAAAATATAAAAAGTGCAAGAAGATCTCTAGAATGTTTGATACTTGCTAGCATGCTTGAAAAATTAATTTAATAGGTTTTAGTAAAGGAGAATTGAACGGTCCGAAAAAATAAGAAAAAAGTGCAAGAATGTAAAGCATTTGAAGACAAACACAGAAACATCGGTTAAAATATTAAAAACATAAATTTGGAGAAACTGTTAACTAAAACTTTATTACAGAACAAATCTTCTTGCAGCAAAAGTTATGATGAAAATGATTTACTCACTGCCTTTGATCTCTTCGAAGAAAGGTTTTTTCTCAGGCAGGACACTCGAATCATGCTTCACAAGTTGTGGTATTTTTAAAGCTCTCTTGACACCATCAATTTTCATGAACAAAACTTGTATCAATGAGAAGATGTTGGACGTGAGCCAGTACAAAAGAAGCCCCTTAAAACAATTGAGATAATTTCGTGAATATTATACTTTAGTTCCAGTTTGAAAATCTGTGTTGCAAAACATGCATATAATAAAAAAAACTAACAAAAATAAAATGTCTGGCAAATCATTATAAAATATTAAAATATCAATTTACTGATGCAGTATACTTGCTGTGTTCAATAAGCTTGTAACATTTGCAGGCAGTCATCATAAACAGCGAAACATGGCGTTGTAGATATGATGAATGTCTTACGAGGCAGACAAATATTTTTATAAATGATGTTTCAAATTTGTTTCTAAAAGAAAATTCTGCCCTACACCAGTAAAATAAATATTTAGAAGTTGTACTCATGGAAAACACCTACAGAAACTTACAGCAGGAAAGTTAACAGTGAAAGGCATGATGAGGAAGGGAAGGACTCGCATGAACACTTTCATCGTCCTGGTCATCGTACTTGCTCTCACACCATCAACTCCAAGCTGCAATTAAAAAATAATTGACAAGATAAAAAATACACGTACATAAATTTCTATTTATTTAGTTCCATTTAATTAATCTTAATTAGAGTAATAATACTTCACCTAAATATAATTATCTAATTAAGTTAAACTATTATCATTAATTAAAACTTTAATTAAAATACAACTAAACATAAACTTAGAAATTTAACAGAAAATCTACACCAACTTTATGAAATGTTAATTCTGTAAAATTATATGAATAGTAACTGAACATGCAAACTAAAAATAAAAATTCGCTAAAAGTAGTCTTATTGAAGAAGAATATCAATGGTACGCAGTGCAAATAAAATTAATTAGGCTCTGGACTGCTGGGCACTCTATTATTATTATTATTATCATCATCATTATTATTATTACTATCATTATCCATATTATTATTATTGTTATTATTATTTTCCTTATTATTATTATTATCATCATCGGATTATTTGTATAGTGCCTTTTATTGCACTTGAAGGTGCTAAAGTCTAATCTCTTTGGTTTCTGGTCTGGCAAGAAACTAATGCTGAACTTATCTAGTAATGAATAAAATATGATATTAGAAGCCTTGAACTTCTCAAAACCTTATTATAAAGAAATTAATATTGATAACCAAAAAAACATTCAGTGATTACTGAATTAAATAACCATAAAATATTGATTGATTTAAAATAACCGCACCAAAAATAAGCCAATAAGAAAAGTGCTAGCAAAAAAAACAACTTATAAAGTAAAATGTAGAACGAAAGAAATTAAAGTCATTAAGTACCTCAACAGTGGCATAAAATGTGAGCGTCGTCATAATGGGCAAAATGAAGAATGGATCAGGTGAAGTTAAGTCTGTGAACCATGCAATGCCACCGCTGCCCATGCTCTCAACTGGCAAGTTGGCCATTTGTCTTATCCCAACAAAAACAGAAACAAAGATAGGCAGCTGTGGTTGATTGTTCAGACTAAAGTTGAGAAGCTTTAACGAATGTTATAAAATAATTAAAAATAAATTTACAGAAATACCTGAATGAATGGAACCAGCATGTTCTTCAGTGGGTTAACGTTGTTCTCTTTCATGAAGTTGTACAACTGTGCACCCGCCTTTGCAGCTGAAAGTTCGAATGAAATATGAGCTAAACCCTTCTAGTAAGATACATTTTAATACTCATTAAATTGATCATCATCATCTAAAGAACCTGTTAAAACATTCGTGAAAAAGAAAAAATTAGATCAAAATTGATCAAAACAATAGACTCAGTATGAAAATAGAAACAATGTCAGTATACTTTCTAAAGAGTTTCCAACACTCTTGGCTTTAGAGAATTTATTCTGTAGTTTTTGCATGATCGGCATGTAGTTGTGCATATTAGCTGCATTTCTCTGTCCCAAAACAACAAGTGGAAATGTCACCAATCGCAAGAAAAATGTTCCTGACGAAAGGAAATAAAGTGGAATTTGAAAAAAAATTTAAATGTTAGCAAATGAATTAATATTTAGATAATTTATTTAAAAAAAAGCTCAATAACTTCGTTTTTAAATTTAAATGACACTATATGATTAAATTGGCCTGATAAATGAAAAATCATTAAATATACATTTGATTACTACTTAATCATACGGAAATAAACAATCCTCAATTGAAACATATTTACATTACTCATTTTTCAAATCTTTTTCAATCATTTTGTCACCATGATAGTTTGAAACCGATTCAAGAGGTACAAGAATAAAGTTTAGTTTGAAATACATAATATGAATTTAAAATCACTTATATGAAAAATATCAAAAATATGAAATCACTTATAATAACTGCATTTCACAAAAGATCCAACCATACCTAGCTATAACAACATGAAATCATTATATACCTACCTATATCAATATGAAATAATTACATTACATACCTACCTATAACAATGGCAGACCACCAGGGAACCCCCAAACCAACATGTAATGATTCCAGTCCATACTGCACTAAGCCATTGGGATACCAGCTTGCCAATCCCAAGCTTGAAAGTGTTGGTTCTCCCAAAGAATTTAACTGGCTAACTGCTAGATTTGTTATTGGTTCCGGTACGGCTGGAGGAGATGGAACATACTCTGATAGAACTCTAAGTGTCTAAAATTCAATGAAACCATTCATTAAAAGTTAAACAATTGAATAAATATAAGAAAAAAATTACTTTTTGAGACACATCCTGGCTGATCAAAAGTGAAGAATTAGAAAATTTGAGATTTTTAAGAGGAATATGTCTAATATGATAGCTACAAACTCTTGCCCAGTTCATGATCCTATCTAGATTTTTAAAAATGTAAAAGCTCTTAATATGTGTAATTTAATAAAATAGGATTTGAAAAATTAATGGTGAATATCAAATGTGGTTGGTACATTTCAGGAGCGAACATATGAGTTAATAAAGTTTAACCATAAAGTATAAAAAATTATATTTAGCCATACAACTTAATCATGTAATCATTTTGACACTTATTTCTGAACACTATCAAAACCGTAAATTTTGTTAACTTAACAAAATGTATAGATAGTACAAACTGAAAATTTATGGTTATATGATAGACAAAATTTCTGGAAAAAAATGCAGTCCATAATTTGGCATGGCTACTCGCAATGTCTTGGATTACAACAATGAGAAATCAGCATTTGAATGGTTTGTATTAAAAATTTTAATGAAAGAACCCGTTCAGCATTCATTACATATAGGTAACTTATTCATTTTTTTACTTGAAAAATTTCCAGCTTTTCATTTATTGCCAAAACTTCAAGAAATAAAATTAATAATACATGTAGTCTGCCACAGATAACATGCCTATGCATGTAATATGTGTAAATAACATAAATTTAACATAAAGTTTAATGAAAGAACCCGTTCAGCATTCATTACATATAGGTAACTTATTCATTTTTTTACTTGAAATATTTTTACACCACATATGTACATGTAGATATAACACAAAGACAACTTAGGTGTAGATCGTGTAAATGATGTTTAGGTCTAAAGAAAGAATCAAGGAATACATTATCTTTGTGTTGTTAACAGTGAAGTATGTCTTACTTCAAACAAAAATTCAAGGTTTTCCACTATTTGAAACTGGACAGAAGTATTATAAATTGAACAGTTTTGAAAAACTGGAAAAAAAAACAATATCTCACACAATTATCTAAACATAAATATGTTTAAGTTTAAGATAATAATAAACATAAAGGTAAAACCAATGATTTTATATAACATAATAAATATAAAGTAAAAAATGAATAAATTACTGTAACTAAAAATTAAAATTTAAACTCATACAATAACTTGAATAGGTCAAAAAAAATTTAACAATTTTTTACTTGTTAGTTTTAAGTAGATTGATCAATGATGAAGTTGTTGATTGCTACCCTTATAACAGCAGGTTCATAATTGTAAATTTGTGAGTCATTGATAGCAGATCTTAAATGAAGCAAACACATATATACAAATGTTCGTTATTTGTAAAATGAATGAATTAATTCACTCATTCATATACATACATGATTATTGAAATGTAATGTGGTTGATAAATGAAAATTTCATCATGACAGCAGATTTGTTAAAACTGAAAAATGTTTCAAGTTTTAATACTTTTTGATTTTGTTCTCTTCTATTGTTATTATAATAATATTTAGTTAATTTAAAAATTATTAAATTGGTCAAGTATTGTTATTATAATAATATTTAGTTAATTTAAAAATTATTAAATTGGTCGAGTGAATAAAAAAGCAAATTTTTTTATTTAATAATTAAAATAGGAGGCTATTTTGTATTTTTCCAGCCTTAACATTGTTATTAGTTTGTCAATTATTAATTATTGATACTTAATTTATTAATTTTTTGTAGTTCTTTCTTTTCTTTTTAATTCAAATTGAAAATAAATTACTTTTACTATAAATTTTATTTTTAACTCTTTTCTTTATTTATCAAATAATAAAACATGTGATTTGTGGAGGAAAACGTGTTATTATTAGTGTTATCAGTTCCAACAGCGCTTACAAACTGACGTGGTTTTAAAAATTTCAATTGATTTGAGGAGAAAGGAAAACAAACCTATCTTAGCTTCTCGGACCACTAGCCACAAAGTTACTTTCCTAAAATGTGCAAAACACGTTCTAACAACTCAGCTGGTAACGAACAATTTACAACAAAAATTTATACAGATAGCCGATATCATTTGCATACAATCGCTTTATTGACAGAAACGAACTGAGTTTATGTATAATTAATTATCAAATAAATTTATTTTTATTTTTATATCATGTATGATTACCAACAAAAAAACTTGGAAAGTTTATTAATTATTATAATACGAGTTGTTCAGTATGAAAAATTTTGCTCAGAAGTTACTCTATTGTATGTTATGCTACGCTATATATAGTTGTATATAACTAAAATATAGTGTAGTCATTAAATTGCAGATATGAAGTAAATGGAAGAAAAGTATTACATCAGAACTTTGACTTACATAACGCAACACAACAGGGTTTATAATGGTTCAGCAGATTAGTGTCTTTATGGAAACCACTGTTAATTGTCCTAATATCCTAGCTCTCCAAGCTTGACCTTAAAACTTTTGGTTGATTCGTCGACAACTGTCTCGCCATTCAGCTTTTTCCAAATGCTTACAAAAATATCTGCTTGATTTGACCATCTATCTTCTTAAAAAGCTTGTATCTATAATTTTATAGTTTTCTTCTAGTTTTATATTAGAAGAATCTAGTAAAGAGCGTATTTTCTTTTTGTTAATCAATTTGTATCATATCCTTTCTGCATCTCCTCTCTAGAGTAATCAGTCCACTTCTCAATCTATTTTTGTATTGAAATTTTTCAAGTCTAAACACAATATTCCAGATGGGTGTAAATTTAAATTTTACACAAATTAATAATTATCGACTTCCCCCTGCTAACCACAGTTCTTCTAATAAATCCAATTATTTGGTTTGCTTTGGCTGAAAGTGGTTGCACATTGTCTTGAGGTTATTGTGCCTCTGTGAATGATAACTCTAATGTCCTTTTCTTCTTCTGTTGATCGTAGCTTCCGATTGCCCAAATGATATTGAACTCTCTTGTTCTTTAGTCCAACGTGCATAACTTTTGTAATTTAATTATCTTAACTCTCTTAAAATGCACAATGTAATAAAACTACAGCAAATTTAAGTATATTTTGTTCTTTGTATAGTTTTAATTTTCTTTCAACGTTGTTTCATAAAAAGTCATGAATGTAGCTATAAGTATATGTTTAGGAAAAAACAACAATTTCTTTTAATCTTTTTTATTGTATTTTGCGGCGTGATGGCCTAGTGGTTAAGGTTGCCCGGTGGGGTTTCGCAAAGCGTGCAGTAACCGGATTCGAATCACATGTGACAAAAAGATCTCCGCCTATCACATGCTTCATGTGATGCATTGTTTATCCTGTATTTATATACGATGCTTGTGATGTTTTGTTGATTCCTCTGAGCCTAGGAAAAGAGTAATAGACATTTTTTTATTTGATTTTATGTTCATGTTTATATTATGGAATCAATAAAACTAGTCAAACAAAATTTTGTAAGTTTTGTGTGCTGTTTAGAAAAAAGTCTGACTACGATAATTTTTACTAATTGTTTAATTTCACAAGGCACCAGACCAAAATACTAAATTGTTTGTGTGAATATTACAGTCCTGTGTTCTCGATTAGAATTCACTTTTGTTATATTTTTTAAATCATCGTTACTGACGTTTATTGTTTGGTTTTTCAAAAATTATTTTATAAAAATTTTTTATTAAATATTCAACAAAGTTATTAATAAGGATCTTGTAGAAAGAACAAAAAAAAATGGTTTGTGTGTATCTATATTTTTTGTTAAGTCAGAAATCCGTCCCGGATACTTGACACTAGATACAAAAATATTAAATTTATTAATAAAACAAGGCTTAAAAAAAAGATTATTAGACATCTGCAGTATATAATGCAAAATTTGTACTTGTTTAACAAAAATCTACAGCAATCCGTACAATGATATTTCTTAATCATGACATTACTTTACAAAACCAGTTTTATAATATAAAACTTTTAGTCAAGTTTCTCTGAAAAAAAAACATATGCATCAGCATTCCCCCCAACATCTACACCAACATCTCTGATTTTGTACTTTTGTTAAATATGATAATTAAAAATGAAAGTTTGATATTAAATATAGCCCAATGATAAGCTTAAAGTTTAAGCCTTAAACTTAATTAAAGAAACATTAAAAATGATTATTAACAATGTTTTAATTTTTATTATAATAACCATTGTTACAGCATGGACGCCTAAAAGTGAAGTCATCAGTGGAAATAGAAAAAGAAAAAAGTAATGAAAAAAGAAAGAAGTTGATGTATTATAAGAAAATTATTTCCGATATTCAAAATATGGTAAATTTTTTTTTCATTATTTCCAACAATGCTTAAAAATATTTTTGTATTTCTCTAGGATTTGAATTTAGAATATTTAGATGAACTTCTTAAGCTAACATCGGAAGTTTTAAGAATGAACCCTGATTATTATACTTTTTGGAATATCAGAAAAAAATTATTTCAAAAACTAAAAGCTGAAAGGTTCATCTCATCTTATTTTTAGTTTCTTTCAATTTTATACCATTTTAGTTTACTGACCATTTTTTAATGCAAATTGTCAAAAAATGTTGATATACACTCTTGGTGAGCCTCATAAAATGGCCGTGCCTGGTGGGTCTCATAAAATGGCTAGGCTTGGTAGGCTGCAGTTTGCCCCGCCCCTTTGTGTAGATTAAAAAAACAAGTTACCAATTTCAACAATCATTTGACAAATCCTTACTATCGCTTCCATACCCAAAAACAGTAAAACAGAATGTGAAGCATTGATGATTAAAGAATTAAACTTTTTAAACGAATGTCTCAAACTGAATCCAAAGTCGTACAGCGTGTGGCATCACAGGTGCTTCATAACAGAGTTTATGGATCGTGCAGACTGGCCGTTAGAATTGGAACTCACTTCTAAGTTTCTTGAATGTGATAATAGAAATTGTTAGTATATGTGCTTTAAGTTGGGGGTTGAGAATTTTTTTATTTCTCACTTTCTGAAAGCTATCTTATCAGTAGCTGTTGACGTGGATCGTGTTATTATTATTGGATTATATAGTCTTATAAATCTTCAATTTTTCAATTCAGTTCATTGTTGGGATTACAGGAGATTTGTTTTCAGCAAATGTACCACATCCCCTGAATCAGAATTGTTATTTTCGACCAAAAAAATATCCATGGACTTCTCTAACTTTTCATCATGGCACTACAGAAGCAAGCTCATCTCCCAAATCCATCCCAACTTGTTTGTTGACCACATGGATGTCATCAGCCGAGGTTGTTAATGTCTTTCAGTTATTTTTTTTCTTGATTGTGCTATATGTAGGAGCACTTTCGTATAATAACAGTTCAGAAATTACGTATTTGTTTTAGATTGTTTCATTTAAATGTGCTGAAATGAAAATTTGCTCAGCTTTTTATATTTTGAAATTTTGATATGTACTTATTCTACTTAAGTTTGGCTATAAATTTGCTTGCTATCTTGTTAACAGTAATTTTTATAATCTATGTAACTCATAAGAGTAAGGTGGTAAATGATCAAATCTACCTGTTCATTAGCTCAAAAACTGACGACGATAATCAGAGGCAGGCGCAAAAATTTGAAACTTTATAATAACTATTTTAAGAATACAGTTTAGTGGAGAATGCAATATTCACTGATCCGTCTGATCAAAGTGGCTGGTTCTACCTTAAATGGCTTATAGATAAAAGTAGGTCTCTAATTTTTTCATCATGTCCCAACATGCTGTAAGGTTTTTCATTCCAGAGGCTGAAAATATATTTTTGAAAAGTTTACTCTTGGATGTTAAAAAAAAGTTTATTGTGGTGCTCTTCTCATCTCCTATAAAAGTAAAATTCAGTATTTTATTAACAATTTATTATTTAATTTATTACTGATTGTTAACTTAGTTTTGGGATATAAAATAGTTGATCTGTAAATGAACACCTCCTACTAAATTGCATCTGTTTTTATAAACCCTATTTTTAGCAATTAGATGGATGTGTTTTCATAAAAGAAGAAAAAGTTGTCTTAAATTGGAAGCCTATATCAAATAGGAAGTTTAACTTAATCTTCGTGAGTTTCATTATTTACATGCTAATTGTGTTTTCTGGATTTATTTGATTTTAACTTTAGAACATTTTCTTTTATTACCTGATATTTCTAGTTAATTTGATTTTTGTAATTATTTACTATTAAATGTTATAAATAAAAAAAAACTATGAAACATTTTCTGAAATAGTATTGCCATAAATATAAAATCCAAAGTTTGAATTCTCAGCAGTTAATGATGCAATTTTTTGTTTCTCAGTTTAATTTTTTTCACCCGTTTTTTTTGCCTAATGCATTTTTCAAATAATCCAACTTTATTAATTTTGATTCATTGTTTAAATGTCAGTTAAAATGTTCAATAGTTTGTATGCTCATCATCATTTGCTCAATTTCATTCTGGTTTATTTTTTGTTTTAATTAAATTTTATTTCATTAAAACCTAATTAAGTTTATTAAAGTTTCAATTTTTGGCGTATTTTGCAACTGTTACTTTATTCCTTTATTATGCTGATATAGTATGCGGAACTGAATCAAATTTCCACTGCATCGAGCTCGTGTTTCCACGTCCAGCTGAACAGTTCAGTATTTTACAGGGGTGTGATAGATGTCCAGTGTTCTGTGCACGATTCTGATTTCTCATTGATTCAACCACCTGCCGATGTCAGGTTGGCTCAAGTTAATTGATATCGGTAACTTTCACGAAACAATAAATAATTTATTAATACATAAAAATCCACTGCAATTTAGTTTTTATTAACAAATGGCGAAAGCAACTTAGCATTTAAAAGATTTGTGTTGTTTCAGTAATTCCAAACGAGCATTGCACCGGTTAGTAGAGATGTAACGATGCTCTGAAGCAGAAAATATCTAAGTGACTGCAAACATTCAACAACGCGAGAAATAGTTTAGTAAGATATTATGTTAGTCTTGAGACTTTCCTTGAAATATAAAAATGTTGAAAAGGCTTCAGATGTTTATGTATAAAGAAAAAAATGTAGGACGCAGATATTCATATGCAAAATTGGTTTCACACGCTGAACACAATGTTGGTTCGAAGACAGTAAATATGTATGTAACACGCAACTGAACCGTAAACAGAAAAAAATGTGCCGCTGTGCTTTGTCAAACGAAGTGGAAACAGTGCCATAAATTCTCTTGCAGACGTTGAAGTACCTGGCACACGTCCCAAAGGCTGTCCAAAGAAGTCCTGGTCGCAAACAATCGAGCAAGACATGAAAGCTCTAAATTTAAATGAAATGGATACAACTGATCGCCTAATTTGGAGCAAAAAATTGATGGCAAAGAAAACAACGTCCTACCTCTGGAGAACTGGGTCTCCCTGGACGCTAAACGATGATTGATTGCTCTGTAGTGCATTCACTATTGGCGTTTCACTGATTTACTTTAAAAATAGTTTAATGTGATATCGGTTGTTGTAATAATATTTTCAGTGAAGGGAACGAAATAGTACAATCATCCACGAAGCAACTTTTGCAAAATCAGTTGACGTCACTGGAAGGATTGCAGGAAATTGAATCGGACAATAAATGTTAATTTAACTTTTTCATTGTTTATCTTTTAAACTTTCTTCATTTCAGTGGTTCATAAACGGCCAGTTTCAGTTCTTCTTGAGATAATTAACAAGACAAAACTTCATCACTTTGTGTCATGGCTGCTTCTACAGTGCTTACACTTTTATCTATTCAAACAGTTTTTTCTTTAATTTTCTGATTTGAAGTCATTCGTCGAAAATATTTGTAACGTTAATATGATTTTTGTGTTTGAATGAAACTTCTCTTATATTAATGACACTTCGTTTTGGTTTTAATTTTATGTAGTCAGAATAAGTAATGTTTTCAGTATTAAACATTATTGATATTGGCATGTATTATCGTTCATATTTGTTTAATCCATAGTTTAGTTTTTTATTATTTATTTTTAAACTTGCATTTGAAGAAATGAATCCAATTTGATTGGATTCAACTTGTGTACACGCGATGCAATCATTGATGAACACCCACTTCTACAACAAATTGACTCAACATTTGCTGAATTTTTCATGATAACTGAACTGTTTTTAGCTTATATTTGTTATATTCCATTGTTAAAATACTTCCAACGGACGATGGTTATAGATTCGATAAATTGTTTACCCTAAATTAAATTTGTTGTCAACCCATCCTATTTAAAGTTCCTTAATAATTTTTCCATTGCAGTCACTTTACTGACCTTAGTGAAGATAATGACCAAATTAGATCTGATTCAATTTTATGGCGACATTTTAAAGAAGATCTCCAAACTGATCATATTGGACCCAGCAAGAAAACTGTATTATTTGGATCTAGGTCAATTTTTTTTCAATGCAAATTTAGATCATTATCTTCATTATATTTTGTGTAGCAAATGCGCAAATGAGCTCTAGAGTTTGCGATGTATTTGTTCGAAAGTTTTTTTTTACAATAACCAACCTTGACATCGTAATTCCTTGTTTCAGTTCACATTTTTAAGAAGAAAAAAAAACAAATATTACTATATCGTTTAATAATTCTTTTTGTAAAATAAATAATAAATTAAAATAAATGAAATTACAGAAAGTAAATTGAAAATCGAAAAGTGTTTGAAAGAAAAGAAAACTTCAATGAGGTCAGTTGATCTTTCAAATCTAGCGTTGACCATTTTGTCCCATGCAGATGAGATGTTCTGGTTCAAATCAATAAACTTATCCAACAACAATCTGACGGAATTAAGTAACGGCCACTACTTGTATTGCATTGAGTTGTTGATCCTGAACAACAACAGAATAAAATCGTGTGATAAACTTTACAATTTGAAACAACTCGCCATCCTGGATCTTTCCAATAATTGTGAGTCATTATTTTAAAATATATTTCATTGTTAGAATACATTATGCTCTAGAATTTTGTTTCCAATATAAATAGTAATTTTTTGTAGGTATTTCTTGTGTGGATGATTTGAGAACTTTGAGCTCCTGTCCCAAATTACAAACCCTATTCCTAAAAAACAATCCAATCTCGTTAATTCCCGACTATGAAAATTTAGTGAAAAATATTTTACCACAAGTGAAGTTCTTCAACTGATTTATGAATTATCATAGTAATGAACGTTCTTTTAGTCTTTTTTATCATTTTGCTAATTATTTCTTAATCACGGAAAATTTGTTTACGTAATAAAATGTAAAACACTGGATTTCAATATTATTAAGATATTTTTATAGGTTTAAAATTAATCGGTGAGATATATAGCGTCATTTTATCATTTGATTATTTGCAATCAAAATCGGCAACAAATCTGAAAAGATTGGCCAGCCCACCGCAGTGACAACAGTAATCTCACTCTTTCTTCTTGCCCTTAACTTTTCTTTAGTTTTTGATTCAGTTGATAATACTATTCTCATGAAACTTCTAGATTATTCTTTTAATGCTGGTGGTTCTTGTCGATCTTGGTTTTCTTCTTAACTCTGTAATCGGTTTTCTTCTGTTCTAAATAATACAACTTCTAACTCTTCTACTCTTAATTTTAGGGTACCTCGGGATTCTATCCTTGGCCTTCTTCTATTTATTATCTATGTCTCTGAACTACCTCGTATTATTTTAACTCCTTGTTACTATTCAATTATATGTTTACGATTCCTGTATTTATACTTGTCCTCCATCTAATCTCTATAGTGTTCTTCATAATTTATCTCAATGTCTCTTTTCTGGTGTGACACTATTTATCTTAAACTATTTTCTTTCAATAAATCTAAATACGATCACTATTCTTTTTATTATCTTATCTGATTCTAAAACTTTTGATGTTTTTTCAAAGTTTCGCAGTTTAAGTTTTATCCTTGAATCTAGCACGTCTCTTTCTTCTCAGATAAATACTGTTGCTAAATGTACGTAGAATAATATAATGTTTGCCTTTCCCTTACTTCATTATTTATATCAAAGGTTGGTTACTGTAACTCGCACTATACTGTGGTCTTCCTGGTTCTACCTTTTAAAGTAAAGTTTTTAATTCTGCTGCTCGTCTAGTTGCTCCTGCTCCTACTTTTTCTCATATATTCCCATATCTTGCTCTTTTGTGTTGGCTGCTTTTTAAATAAGGAATAATTTTTAAAATATGCACATTATTGTATAAGTTGCAATCTAAATAAATATCTAAGTATTAATACTTATCAGATATGTTAATTAAGCCTAAACGCCTCAGTTTTCGATCGTCATGTTCTTCTTTAATCCTGCTTGGAGTGTCGGAGATTGATTGGTTGATTGATTGGTTGATTGATTAGAACGGCACGGCATCTTGGTCTTTGACTTAAAATCTTGCAAACACACAAAAGATGTTTAATTTAGTTATATCATATAAATAGAAAAAAGGTAAGGCTCGGCCTCGACGGTCTTCGTACTATGAGGAAAAATGGGTGGATGGGTATATATATCGAATAAATGTGTCAAAGGGTAGTTAGTATATTTTGTATATGTTCTATTACGCTATTGGAATTTATCATTGAAACACCACTCTTTAAAGTGGCATAGTGTTAACTAAAATATTCAGTAAATGATGGAGTTTTTTTTTGTAGCTTTCCATACTATTTTTTATTAATTCTTCAATTTGTCAAACCGTTCTTAATTTAGTCTAGCTTACGGCTCGCTTGGTTTGTTTCTCGCGTCTTTTTACCTCGACAAACATTCAACAAAATTAAAAATGCAGAACTGGCTCGAGATTTACATGCTGAACGAGATGTTGTTACTCTTTTCAATTGTTATTGCATTTCTCGTATTGACCATTTTCGGGAAGCGTAAAACGTGGATGACCACCGATTCCTTCATGACGGTCACCTGCGGAGTGGCTTTCATTTTTTTTACAAAGCAATTATTAAAAGCTGAAGTAATTTTTTATATTATTTGATTGAAATTTAATGAATCAATTACATTTATTTTATATGATTACAACTATCGTTTGCTATGTTATAGGCTTTTTTAATTTTTTAAACCTTACGTTACCAGTTAGGTTACGTTAACACATTATTTTAATTTAATTTAGTTGTTGTTTGCATGAACTAATTTATGTTATAATTAATATGTTAATTATATGAACAGCATGATAAAATAAATTATAAAAAACTAATTATTTACCAATCTTTTTAAATATATAGTGATTATTTAATTAGGTTGGGTTAGGTTAGGGCTAGGTAGGTATTACATCGTTAAACTAGAGGAATAAGCTACAAGTCTTATAATAACATATTCCTTTATCTAATGACCTAATACCCAGCCCTAACTTACTAAAATAATTGCAATAAAATTACATTGAGCGAGAGCTGCAGTCTGAACTCTAAACAAAACCTCTCCAAACTCACTAAGCTGAGTCATTAAATTATATAAAATATAATAAAATAAACAAAGCTAATTTCTTGCCCTAACACACTAACAGCCTAACCCAAACTATGGTTAGTTTTATTAAGATTTTAGCTCAGCTAGTCCAATCATAAGTTAAACTTTGATTAATGGCAGGTTTAGTTAAGCTAATAATTAGTTTAACCTTGTCAGATTAATTAAACAAGATCTTTTTGATGCAGTTTTTTTTCAAAGTGAAAATCATAAATTGTGCCAAAATAGTCTCCCCTAAAACCATTAGTTAAAACAAGGATTAGATACTTTTTTATTAATGTTATTAGCTTGCTTTCAGAGTATAATAATAATAGGAACTACAGTTTAAACACCAAAGAATTTAGTGGTGTCTTTTTCAAAATTCTTTGTTTTTAAGTATGAACGAAAGTTTGAGTATTTTAAATTAAATAAGCAAAGTGGTTGTTGTTGTTTGAATAAGTAAATTGTTTGTAAATTTACACATCAGGTGTTATTGTAGTAGATATATATTTGGAATGATGTTATATTGCTTTTAAAAAGTGATGATGGATAGTGCAAATGGTCAAATATACAGCTTAATATTTTCGCAACATTTTTAGCAAGTGAAATATTTATAAAGCTGAAGTATCACAGATGTCTATCATTATTCTATATTCTTAATAAGATAAATCAGATTACGAAGAAGACTTCGAACAGATGCAAATGGTTGCTATAAAATATTAAAAAAATGGGGATGTACTTTTTGACAATAGAAAAGTGTTTGATTTAATGACGTGAAAGCATTGGACCCAGGAACCATGATTTATATCTGACATTTTTTACTATTTAATTAATAAGAGCTGAGACTGTTTTTTAATGAATTATCTTTTAAATAATAATAATTCAGTTTGTTGTAATTTTTTGTACCTGTTATATTCAATACTTATTATAGAGTACTGGTGCATGCTAATCAGTTTCACCTACACTCGTATGTTATTTTTTGTTCATTTTATGTATGCTAATAAATTTTTTAATTAATTTTCAAAATTTTCAGTATAGTTGGTTTTTAGTTTTAATGTTTTGTTAATTTTAACATTTATATATATATATTATTTAATTGTTATTTAATTCATTTTATCATCCTGCATTTTGTACAGACAGAGGGAGATATTCGAACAATGGATGAAAATGTTGCAACTGTTTTTGGAATAACCCTGCTCTGCTCGGGTTTAAGTTGGCTTATGCATGAGAAGTCCAAGGATCAAAAAGTTGTTGAAACATTTCTCATATCAAGGATTTTTGTATGTGTTTGTTATCCTTTTTTCATAATTGTTTTGAATAATTTTTTCATTACGATTTGTTTTATGTTGCTTTTTTAAATGTACTATTTTTTTTCAATTGTTTTCAGATGACTTTTATAACATACCTTTCTTATTTGAATTCCCTTAAAATTAGTTTTAGTATTCTTGATTCAATATTTGTTGATTAGAATATTTTCTATTATTTTTAAAAAGGAATAAGTTATAGTAAAAGCACTTGTTAGTTAAAAATTGTTGATGGTCATCTTGTCATAATTTTATAACTATTCAATATTTTTTCCTTCATTTTCGTTTCATTTTAAAATTTTGTTACTTTTTCTATTAATTTTAAATTACTCAATCCATTTATATTTTTCAAATGAATTGTTACAACTCAGACTTCAGGTGTCCTTCTAGCCATGTTATCTTTTGCTTATTTCTTAAATAAGCCAAATAACAAACCAGCTTCTAAAGATAAGAAAAATATAGACTGGTCTGAACAGGTAGTTTATTTTAAACTTTAAAAATAACGGCAATAAAATTATCATGTAAATTAATTATACAAGGTCCAGTATATGGGTGTGCTTCCACTACTTTTGTGGTTTCTCGGGCATGTCCTGCAACTGTTTATGAATAACATTGCCACCTGTCTACCCCAACAGGCAACAAAAACAGATTCATATTTACGAATTCAAGCCATCATCATGTTCCTCATTGGAATTAGTCTTATAGCATTTCCTGGGAAAGTCATTGGAATGGCGGTGAATTTTCCACATTTTACAATAATAATATTACAAAGAAAATGCAGTGATATTTCTTAACACTTTTTATATATATAAATAAATAAATAAATATATATTTATATAAATATATATATAACAAGCCAATTATATGTCAATTGTTTCAAATGAAATTTAACTCCATAAATATTCTCACAGTTCAGACAATCAGGTGATAAAGTGATGCTCCATTTTGTTAGATGTATTGGCTCAGTCTTCATTGGCAACAGTATTATAGCTCTACATTCCCCTACATTTTCATGTGAGAAGGATAAAAGGAATGTTCTTCTTAGCCAACTATGTGTAAGCTTCTCTTTCTGTATTTTTTCTTTTGATGTCGATACTGCAAACGTGTATAAAAAATTTTAGGCTTAAATATTCAGATTGTATTGGAATGTTTTTGGTCAGTTATAATCAGCTCATTTTGGATAAACGTTTGAGTTCATTGAAGTGAGGTTCTTTTAATGCTAGCATGCTGATTAACCATGCATACATTCAGGAAGAGATCAATTTGAGTAATTAATTCAGCTTCATTTTAAGCCTTTTCATAAATTTATCTTGAGGATTAATTATTTAGCATGGAGGGGCCCTCTGCTTGACATCCTTCTACCTAATTTGGCCATTGTAATGCGATCTACTAAATGTATTGTTATCATTAAGTAAGATGAATGCCATTTCAAATGCTGGTAGATTAGAAAGAAATTATTATTTGTACAAGCGGTCACAAAACTGAGTTTTATTATTCTAGTTTATTGTTATTTGGTCTAAAATACATTTTGTAAATAATTTTAACTACCAATTTTTATTTAGGTCTCTTCACTGCAGCTGTTGTATGTGTGCTTGCTAGCATACAGAGATACAATCGAATTGAATTTCTTGTATGGCTGTGCATTTGTTCATCTTCCTCTTTATCTAAATACATTGGTTGGATATATTTTCTCCACTAAACAAATTTTTCCGGAATGCAACAAATCGGAATAAATAAATGATTGAATTTTCATGTTTTTAGAGACTTGGATATTATCTTATTATTATGTTGATCATTGAATTCATAATATAACTATTGTAGGACATTTTCGTTAATTTTATTATTTTGTGCATGTACATTTACCGATGCAATGAGGACATGTATTTTAGCTTCTGTGTCAAGAAAGATATCTAAGTACTCATCGATTTCTTCATCACAAAACCTGAATAAATACAGAAAGCTAGTGTTCAAGTATAACATAAAGTGAATCAATCAATCAATCTTCGTTTTGCGTCCAGAGACCCGGTTTCCCGAGGTAGGACGTATAAAGTGATATAACATCTGAAGATTTGGAGGAACTAGTCTTAATTGATCAGTCAAACTATGTGTTGTTGGGTAATTTAGTAATTAACTGATCAGTTTTAATCAATTAAGACTGATCAGTCAAACTATGTGTTGTTGGGTATGAATTTGGATCTAGGTCAGTTAGGGTGTGTAATAAAAGTCATTTAGTTAACACTAAACTCCTGCAGTTTAGTGTGGACTTGGTGAAGTGTAGTTATTCCATGCATTTCTTATTCAAACCGACAAAAACAGCTTCTCGTTTCTCATCAATTTTTTTGTCCTCTCTTTCTCTTTTTTTTATTTTTTTCACCATTTTTTTAAGTAATATCCACCTCTCTCAAAAAGAAGTTTACAGCGCAAATGATAGTGTTTTTTATATCAGTATCAATAGTGTTTATCGTCTTTAGGCGACCAGTGACTTCAATACCCCATGAATCTCCACGACTATGCCGTCTTTAGTGTGAATGCTTTTAGCTTATCTGCAGACAAATTGTCTGGCACTCTGTATTTCTTTCTAGCTTCGGCCGGGTTATTTTTGTGAAGTAGCGCTTGTTGGTTGCAAAGAATGCATACATTAATATGGAAGGCAAACTGATGACGAATTTGTAGAACTAGACCCAACTGATCTTGGAGCAAGTGCGTCTTCTCTTGATCTTTGATAAATTTTTATGTGCCTGCAAATCTTGAGACGATTTTTTAGTGATCTCTACAAAATTGTTGCATAGATCATTTTTACATTTTATGTAGTACTTATTTTTGTGAACGTCCCAAAATTTTATAATCATTTAACACTTCTGCATGCGTTAATAATGTAAAATAGCTTTTCACAGTTGCTTGTATGAGCCCGTGAACCGGTGTGCCGTACCGCAACAGATAAAACGCTTTGGAAATAGAAGATTTTCGGTGTGTCAGCTCAAATTTGAAATGTATTGCCAACAGATCTGAAAAGATTCAGCAGCATGGATCGTCGGATGTTCAAGAAATATATGTTTAAAAAATCATATATTCAACAATCCACAGCGATGCTAGCGCTTCTGATGTCATTCTGGACGGGCGCTATACAAGTTATCAAATACAAATACAAAAAACGATTGTACACAGAACTGACGTCATCCATGTTAAACTACTCAATAATGCAATCTTAAAAACTAGTTTAAGACAGTTAAAAAAGTAGTTTTTAATTAATCAAGAATATATTGTGAAATATAAATGCTAAACGTATGTTATGAATGATTACGAATTCTTTGTTAACCTCAAAACTTTTTCAATGAAATTTTCAAAAATTGCTATTCGATAACCTGATATCAACAACTTTTTTGGCATTCCAACTGGAATTGAGTTTCAACATTTCAACCCATGTTAGTGTACAAAAGAAAGAAAATGGTAAAGAAATTGTTTGGTAATAATTTAGTTGCCATATTTTCATATCTTTCTCTTATTAGAAAAATGTTGATTAACCAGAAAACGAAATTTTAGTTCGAATAATTTTCAGAATGGTAATCGAACCATGTATATATATCCATGAATCGAACCTCATGTTCCGCATATTGTCTTTACAAAAAAGCTCACGTTCTAATTACATAAAATATTGGTAATGTTTTTGTATTAATGCACACAATTCTAATTTTTACATATTCAAACTCATAAAATTTTAAACAATCGTTTCTCCCTGTCGTAAGCTTTACTGGAAGCAATACATTATGATAGAAAACGTATGCTACAACAAAAATTCCAATTCCTAGTCGAATTATATATGGTGGAAATCATAACATTTTCACACGGCAAATGTAGCGATAATAAGGAATTTCCTATTTTTATTTTATATATGTATATATATATATATATATATATATATAAAGCTAAAGCTGATCAACGAAGCTAACTTACATTTCGTTTGCACATGATGCTGTGACTGCTAACGTATGTGGACTGCACTTGATGTACGAGACGTTTTTGTTATTTATATTTTATTTTGTTTTATAATCCAAGTTTCTAATAATTTTTTATAATTATTAGTTACTTTTAGTTTTATTTGTGTAAAAATATTTTTAACTTCGTGGCAACGATAATAAAATGATGAGAAATGAGAGTTCGGACGAAGACGATGATCGGTCCACTTTGAGTTTCGACTCTTCGAAAACTGCTCAACAAAACTCGAACTTAGCGAATGCTGCAAATGCCGAAAGGGACGACGACGAGTTGAGCATTCCGCGAGCCGCTCTCAACAAAATGATAAAAGAACTCACTCCCAATATCCGTGTTGCCAATGACTCTCGGGAACTCATCCTCAACTGCTGCACTGAATTCATTCACCTGGTGGCTACTGAAGCGAACGACTTGTGCAACAAACAACAAAAGAAGACAATATCACATGAACATATTTTTAAAGGTTATTAACCACTTGAAATTTTTAAAAGAATAATCTTAATAAAATAATAATTTTAATTTTTAATAATACTTTTTAAATTTTTTAGTTAGCTGTTATCAAAATGCCAAGTAATTGTAGATGCATATTTTAAAAAATGGTTTAATTTGTTACATTAGCTCTTGATAACCTGGGGTTCAGCAGCTACAAAGAAGAAGCCATCGCAGTGTTAGAGGAAGCCAAGAAGGTTGCTACAAATAAACGCCAAAAGAAATCCAGATTAGAGAATTCAGGAATACCAGAAGAAGAACTTTTCCTGCTCCAACAGCAATTATTTGCTAAGGTGAGTGTTCTAAGCATGTTGAAAATATATAAAACCTTTAATAACTTTACAACTTTATCTTTGCTTTAAATTTAAATTAAAGTTTAAAACTTGTCCCTTATCAACTTTTTCTTGTTGTTTTTGATAAAAAAGCTTTATTAAATGTTTTATTTTTGATACCTTCCTATGTTATTTCAATCTTTCCAATCATATCTGGTCTGACTTGTTAGGGAATCCATTAACGAATGCACACAATTAGATTGTATTTAAAAACTGCTCATAAATTGAATGGATGATAGGATAGCAGGTTAGTGTGAGAGAAAGAAAGAGGATAGGGAGAGTTATAAGTAAAGAGGAGGATAGGGAGAGTTATAAGTAAAGAGGAGGATAGGGAGAGTTATAAGTAAAGAGGAGGATAGGGAGAGTTATAAGTAAAGAGGAGGATAGGGAGAGTTATAAGTAAAGTACTGAAAAAATGACTAGTCTTGTGTGATAATTTCTTTTTATATTTTTGTAATTATTTTTTTTTTCTAGACAATATTAGATTTTTAGTTTTAAAACTTGTGATGCTTAATTTAATTATATTAATCGAAAAATTCTTCAATGAACAATGATCCAAAGAATTTCTTTACAAATGGTATTGATTAAATTAGGCACATCTGATTTCATTTCAAACTTCAATTATTCTTGTTTAAAAAGTTAATTATTGTATATAATATTTAATACTTTGAATGGTTTCTTTCATTTATTTATACTAGAAACATTTGTTTACATTGTTAAGGCTCGGCTGGAGGCAGCCCAATCGGACTTGAAGGAATGGCATGAAATGCAGTTCAGACTTCAGCAACAGCAGCAACTTCAGCAGCAGCAGCAAGAAGTTGACGACGACGATAACTACAATTTATAGCATTTATTTTTTTCATTATTTTTTTGCATCTGCATCTTGTTAATAATGTTTGACTGAATAATAATTTTGTAATATCATTCTTCTCTCTTCCTCTCTCTCTCTCTCTCTCTCTCTCTCTCTCTCTCTCTCTCTCTCCTCTTCTCTTCTTATTTTTTTATTACCAGGTAAACTGGATAAATATTTAAACAACGTTTTTGATGGTAGGATGGAGAGTGAGTTAGTAAATTTTAATTAATGTTATTCAAAAGCAGTAAGTTCGTGAGTGGAACAGCCTTTAAGCTTCCTTCTTCAGGAAAATTTAAAAAAAAATGATTGACTTTTGTTCTTTTCTGCATTTCCATCACATTTTTTCTTTAATCCAATACTTTTGCCATTCATGCAACTTTCCCAGTTTGAACATGCCTACATTTCTTAAAATACTCACCCTTTTACTAGAGCTTTATATTTCTTTATCTGGTGACATCCTTACTTTCTTATCTACGTGAACTTTTAGAACATGACCTACTTAAGACGGGAATTAACATGTTATGGTAGGCTTCTGGCAGTTTTGTAAGTATTGTTGTGATTTTACGATGAGCAATTGATTCTTTATAGTTCCACCCAGTCCTTGCAACAAGCATCTCGTCAATTGACATCGTCGTTTTAGCTTCTTATGGTTCATTTCATCTTTCTCCTGCCAAGGCGGCAAACAGTTTCGCCATAGTCGTCCGCCACTCTTCTATCTCTTAATCTGCTTTAATTTTTATCATGCTCCTACTCATGTCGCAAATTTACTTAACATTTCATATCTATGCTGTGCTATCTTATTGAAGGTTGGGGTAAACTTAACATTGAATAGAAGTGTGCTTTACTCTAGATTGAAAAAGCAACTGATAACTCTTTTTCAATTTATTTTCCGCTTGTACTGTACGTGAGTTATAGTTTGTCCGTTATTATGTTCGTCTGAATATTATGTACATTGTCAGCGTAATGAAATCTTTTAAACCTCACGTCTGAGTATTGATTTTTGGAAATGATAATTTTTTAATAAGAATTACAAAAATGTTTAGGCTGAAATGAGACGACTGTTCGTTGGTTTCACGAAAATGTCTTCACCATACACAGAGAGTAATTTATTATAAAGACCATAATTAGTATGTGTAAAATACATCCACGATAAGTTGAGTCAGTTAAAAGAGATAAAAAAATTCGCGTCTGTCTGTAAAATAAGAAGTATGATTTATGAAAGTCTAGTGAAACTTGAGATTTGAGTTAAATGGAAATCCAACTGGAACCAGAGTATCGAAGTTTTAGTTGGTTGAATGATAAACTGGAATGAAAACCGTGTTACTTTTCATGCGTTGAGAGAAATCTTTTCGGACAGAGTGGAATTATTGAAAAGATAAACAGTAAAAGTTACTTTAAATTTCAGAGATTGCGGTAGAACTTAACACATCACGATTTTGGTCCGCTTATGACGATACGTACCCACTTAAATTTTTTTATTTCAACATTCAAATCGTCTGCGGAGACGATAATAGAGGAAAGTTTTAGTTTTACATTTGATTTAATTTTTGAGTTTTGGATTTGTCTCGATGTTTTGCTATCCGTATCGATTCCTTCCGAAATACATGCCGTTTCAAGTTCATCATCAAAGAAAATATAACACTACATATATTTACACGATCTTCTGAATATGATACCGGATATCGATGAATGCATTTGTTTAAACACGTTTGTCCAAATTAAATTTAATTTTAAAATTGTAAATAATTTGAATATTTTAATAAAAAATACTTTTTATCGTTAATTAACAAACCAGTTTGAGTTTAGAAAAAAAAGAGTTCAGAGGATATAGAAATTGAGTTTTAATAATTTTGTATATGAAGTTGACGTTAAAACTAACATAGAATTCCAAGAATATTTTATAAAAACGGTCTCTTACAATAAATAAATATATATATATGCGTGTGTGTGTGTGCGCGCGCGCGTATGTGTATGTAGCGTATTATTATTATTATTATTATTATTATTAAGAAACATTTATTAAACGCTAATTAAACAATTTCATAAGCGTTCTCTCAAAAACAAAACAAAATGTTATATGTGACTGTTCATGAAACGAAAATCAAAGTAACAAATTTTACAATTTCACAGAAAATAAAAATGTCTTTAGTTCTTTTTTAAATAAATCTATAGAAGTTCCCGATCTTCTTAACATAGGTGGAAGGTTATTCCAAACAGAGGGACCGGCCACGGCAATGTCCCTAGAACCAATTTGCAAACGCGTGACTGGCACCCTTAGCAGATTCAAATCATCCGACCTGAGATAGGAAGATGATGCCGTTTGTTTTCTGGTAAATTTATTTTTCATGTATTCAGGTGACATGTCATTTATAGACTTGAACATGAGAACTGCAATTTTAAAGACTATCCTTTTGTTAATTGTCAACCAGTGTAGTTCATTCAAAATCGGTGTCACGTGATCATACTTCAAACCATCAGCAACGAGTTTTACAGCTCTGTTCTGCACCGACTGAAGGACGGCAACTGATGATTCCGGCAATTTGTAAAACAAACTGTTGCAGTAGTCCAAACGAGATGTGATGAAGGCGTGGACCAACGTTTCCAAAGTAGGTCTATCCAACGAATGTCGAATTTTATACATGCTTCTAAGGTGGATAAGACTTGATGTACAGATCTTTTTGATGTGATTTTTTATTGATAACTTGTTGTCAAGCAAAACACCCAGGTTGGAAGCAGTATCAGCCAATGGTATATCAACATCTCCTATTTTAACAGAACTAAAATCAATTTTCAGCAATTTCTGCCACGTTCCAACCGGAAGTAATTGAGTTTTGCATTCGTTTAGTTTTAACGAGTTTGATGACATCCAACGTCCTACCTCTGATAAACATCCGATAAATCTCTCAACTTCAGTTTTGAACAAACAAGGAGAACTAGTAACCAGCACCTGAATATCATCTGCAAATGCATGGCAGACATATCCGTAGGAGCTGATTATTTTGGTAATTTCCGACGTGTACGGGAGAAAAAGAACGGGTCCCAAAACTTAGCCTTGAGGTACCCTTGACGTTATGATGGAAACCTCTGATATTGAGTCATTAAATGAAACCTGTTGTGTCAGATTTGATAAGTATGATTCAAACCATCTATATACATTATTCGTTACCCCGTAATTTTGACGCAGTTTTGCCAGAAGAACATCATGGTTGACGCAGTCAAACGCTGCCGACATATCCAAAAACGATAGTAATGATATTCTCTGAGCATCTGCAGCGGCGAATAAAATTGATAGGACATTCAATAATGCAGTTTCGGTTGAATGAAACTTCCTATATCCTGATTGATTGAGAGGCATTAAATTGTTTTATGTTAGATGATTCAACAAAAACTTGAGAACAACGCACTCCATGATCTTTGAGATAAACAGAAGGTTGGATATCGGCCTGTAGCTTGCAACATCGTTGACATCACCATTAGCTTTTTTTAAAATCGGGACAACCGTAGCATGTTTGAACCCAGCAGGAAATTTACCCAACCTCAGGCAGAGATTGAAAAAACTGGTAAGAAAGCAGATAAACAAGTGTATATATTTCTTTAAAATATGCGTCGGAAAAATATCTTGTGAACTTGTTTTTGAAGGAGAATTCATTATGATGCCTTTAAGTTCGGTTTCTGTTATTTCTGGAAAATCTGCTAATGAAACAAGATTTGTAACATGACTGTGATGTGCTGACGGAACCAAAACGTTGGTAGACATTATAATCTTGTTGATCTTCTCTGTGAAGAACTGCATGAATTGAGAAGCTTTTAGGTTGATATTATCATCGGATTTATTACTTTGTTTATTTCTACACAAAACCCTGTTCACAATCTGCCAGCGATTTTTGGAGTTGTTGTTAGCTTTGACTAAATTTTTCCAGTAACTTGAACGTTTTTTAGAATAAAGTTTATTTCTTTCTGACAAAGAAACCAACCAGTCATTTCGATGATCAGTCGTCGAGTGATTTCTATATGACCTTTCCATCCACCTCCAAGGTAGTTTAGCCCGTCGACAATCATCATCAAACCAAGGTGCCATACTTTCTCTTCTGTCATAAATCAAACGCCAAGGCACAAGTCTGTCGACAATTTTTTTTAACTCGTTGTTAAACATTTTTAATTCAATCTCGACATTGTTACTCTGACAAGGCTCAGAGACTGGAGAATCCAAAACAGCCCTAGCCAGTTGATTTCCGTCCAGACTTTTCCAGGACCTGACATGTCTCGCAGTTATTTTACGAAATGTCTGAATCAATGTTTCAACTGTTATTAAACTGTGGTCAGATATTTTTATGTTAATGTAGTTGACTAACTGGAAGGTTTCAAATACCTCACCCAATCGGATGGAATATGGATCATCAGTTCTTTCGAGATGTACATTAAAATCTCCCATGAGCAAAACTTTAGAACCCAAGACTGTAATCTGCTCTAAAACTGAAACCAGTTCTTGAAAAAATAAAACAGACAGTTGTGCTGAGCCAGGTCGATATATAGCAATCAGAATGAATGTACTTCCGTTGACCCAAAATTGGGTTATGTAGCGTATGATGTGTGTGTGTATGTAGCGTATGATGTGTATAATAGTATTTTTATTAGAACATGTGTTCTGTTAATTTACATGGTTGATTAATTTTGGTTATATCATATATATAACTTAAATGGCACGTCTTAAAAATTGTTGTTAATGAATTAAACAAACAATTGAACTATTAAATTAATCAAGACAGCATTTATTTCAAAAGGTGATTGAAAATGTTTAAGAAATTCGAGTCTTAACTTCCTCCTTCAGGCAGTTCTTGCGTAACAATACCACTTTAGCTAGTAAGCCAAGTTGTGACAGATTTTAAAATTAAATTTCATAGAATTTTCAAACATTGATTAGCTTTGGGCTCTCCACTCTGCATCTTCATTTATTCCATTATTCCATTTTTTATCAGCTATCTACAATTTTTGATAGTATTGATGAAAGTTACTATCTAGATTTTATGTGCACCTATCCCATAGTTGATATAGAAATGAGTGTCCCAATTTAACACGATCGGTTAAAAGCGGATACACTACAACATTTTTTAGTTTTTTATTAAAAAAAAATTAAAAACAACTCTGCTCGAAAAATTGCTAAAAAAAATCGAATAAACAATTTAACAGAGATGCACAATATACGTTACTCGTCGATCGGCAATGTTTGCTTGTATCCGCCCAAATTCTATAAATCATTTAATTGTATGAATTCAACTCATGCTGTCTAAATTTGGCCGGTCTGTACGCATATTTTGATATTTTCATTTTACTATATAACCATATATAGTATATAGTATATATATGTGTGGGTGTGCGTGCGTCCGTGCGTGTGTGGGTATGTGTGTGTGTAGGATATCAATCTAATGCACAATTTTTTCATATGATTCCTTGAAATAGAATGTTTCATATACAAATCTGTATTTTTATACTGTATTGTATAACTGTACAAGTGTATTCACTTCACGTGTAAGATTCTGTATGTTTTTTTGCTTCAACGTATGTGTTGTATGTGCAACAAAACGTCAGAATATTCTATAAATCAGGAGTGGGACAACATCTTTCGTTGATAGATTTTTATCTGTGCGAACTTGGTCTTTTTCATTTTAAATTTTCCTTTCAACGTGTAACATTTATTGCAGTTGCGCACGTGTACATTTCATGATATTTGAAATCGGTATTTATATTCCTAATTAGGTTTGCTCTATTTTAGTGGTTTGTTTTAATGTTTTTTTTTTTATGCACAAATGTTATTTTAACTTTGATATGGACGGACATATCATATTGATTTTGACCGTGTCCGTTAAATAATCTCTCATTGTTATGTTACAATGTTACACACACACACACACACACACACTCACACACACACACACACACACACATGCCGGTCGTTCGTCATGATCAATATTAACACGTACCATCCTACAATTTACGAAAATTTGTCTTCCTGACAAGATGAAAATTCGCACGGAATATTTTTATTCATGATTAAATTGAAAATTTAGTTGTATATAGTATTTATAATTTTTCTTATAACAAATACATGTTGTATTTGTGGATATATATGTAGAGGAAGATATTTAAAATATGTCATTTAAAAGTGAATTTAACGAAAATAGAAGAGGATGGTTGGTGTTCGTGAGTGTCATCTTCATCACCATCACGAGGTCCTGCTTCTTCTACAGCTTTGGAATCATCGTCAATAAGCTGACGGAGGAATTCAATGAATCTCTCACCATAGCAAGTTCGTTCGCAACTTGCTCTCGGTTACCTCCTTGGGATTTGTAATATTTAACCGTCAAAATTATTATTTTTAATAAAAATAAAAATTTGTAACTTTCATTTCAACATTTGATTATGGGAGCTTTCCATAGGAGATGTCCCTTCGATTTTTTTAATCCTTCCTCCTCCTGCCACAAACTGTCACAAATCTTTTGACCCACCCCTACTTTTGAATGTTGCCATTTCGCTGATAACAATTAAAAAAATTTGCAATATCACGAATAATGATTGGAAAATGTAAATCAGCAAACACATTCCAACATTAACTTCGTGAATAAAATGGAAAAGAGCAAACCATCATTGGGTTTTTATTTTTTTGAACGAACGTTCTATTTGGGGTAGAAGTAAACTCCTCCTAAAATTTTTTTACTCATTTTTTTAACCAAATGTTTTAGGCAAAATTTTTTATTAGTTCCTGGAGGAAATTGAAAAAAGTTTAAAACTGGATGCCACATCAGCTTGCACTCCCCTCCCAACTTGTCACAAAGGACCACAATTTCGGCCTAAAACGCGACATCCTTCCTGGACGGCCTTTCATCATCATCTTTATCTTTCCTACATTATAACAATCATTTAAATTATCATCCTCATCAAAGTTAAAAGGTTAAAGGTCAATCTCTCTTTTGCGTTTGCTTCAGAGGTTTCAACGACAAACACACGCAGCCTATTTGTTGAATACGCTGAAAACCACGCATCACACACATTGCATGTGATAGACGGAGATTTCTTTGCAATCGATCCCAGTCACTGCAATAGCAAGACCAGGCACCTTTAACCATTACGCTATCACTATCGTTGTTAGTTGTTTCATCATCATAAACATTACTTATAAAATTTCATTACAATTATGTCCTTATTATTATTATTTTTGTTGTTGCCACTAAAAACAAATGAATTTATTTTCCCAAAAACACCCTCACAACATCATACTTATTATCAACAACCACATCATCATCAACATCAACAACAACATCATCATCAACATCAACAACATCATCATCATCATCAACAACATCATCATCTACATCAAAACAACAACATCATCATCATCAACAACAACAACATCTTCATCGACAACAACAACAACCACATCATCCTCACCAACAACAACAACAACATCATCATTATCATCAACAACAACCACATTAACAACAACGACAGCTTGGGTGGGCATGGGACAGATAGCAATAACACACTTCATATCCTTCCTGCCAGCGATTTGCATCAAACGCCTTGGAAGGAATGGCTATCGCATATGCGGTATCGCCGGCACCCTCTTGGAGGGGCTCAGTCTCATCAGCAGCTCCTACGTCCAACAGGTGCCCGTCATGTTCTTCACCTACACCCTTTTGTTCGGGGCTGGCTCTTGTTTTGTCTACATGACATGCTGCCTCACTCTCATCGAGTTCTTCCCGAAAGGCCACAAGCGACACGTTCTGGCCACGACATGCGTCAACAGCGGCTACGCTATCTGTAGGTTTCGCTGAGCCTATAATTAATAACTCTTAATCCAAATAATTATTCTTTATAATAAATTTTATTTCCTCTTTATTTATATGTACAAACACACACAGGCACGCACACACGCACGTATAAATAAATAAATAAATAAATATATATATATATATATATATATATATATATATGCTGGTAAAAGACCAATGCAGCAATTTATGAAATTTCTAGCGTTGGATAGCTTTTTATTACATTTTCCAATATTTCTAACCAAATTCTTGTCATCATTATTTATTTTATTAAAGTTAGAATTCAGTTTTTCAATTCATTCTCGAGTGGATAGGTGGCCGTCGGGATTTGACTTAAAATTGAGCGAAGAGGATAATTGGTTTTGTGGGTTTTAATGTTACCATAAAAGTATCCAGGGGAATATTCACCAACGAGTAAATTTAATAAATTAATCTTAATAAAATAAATAATGACGACAATAATTTGGTTAGAAATATTGAAAAATGTAATAAAAATAAAAAACTATCAAACTCAAGAAATTCGGTAGATTTCGTAAATTAATGCATATGCATATATATATATATATATATATATATATATATATATATATATATATATAACGATTTGAATATACAATTTTGTTCCACAGCAACAAGTCTAGGTTGGATATTAGATTCCAGATTGACAATGGTGGAACATATAAAATTTTTATCCAGAGTATGTACTGTTCAGTTACGAAAATTGAATTTGATAAGAAGATCAATAGATAAAAAAACGGCTGAATATTTGGTTCATGCATTCATTCACTCGAGACTCGATTACTGTAATAGTTTGTATTATGGATTGCCGGAGAAGTCAATTGCTATGATTCAGTCTATTCATAATCGTGCAGCAAAAGTCGTGGTGGGTGGGGTAAAGTTTGATCATGTAACTCCTATATTTAAAGAACTGCACCGGTTGACGATTGAAAAAAGGGTGATTTTTAAAATATCTATGATCATGTTCAGATGTTTAAATGGATGCGCACCAAAATACCTCGTTGACAAATGTTTGCCACGAGTGGTTTCAACACGAACAATTCGACTTCGGTGTGATGATTTGAATTACATGATGGTTCCGCCTACCCGTTTGAAGATTGGAACAAGAAATTTTTCGGTTTGTGGACCCTCGGTGTGGAATAGCCTTCCTTTTTATTTAAGAAATCAGGAATTAAATTTAATTATGTTTAAGAAATTATTGAAAACTTACCTGTTTTTGTTGTAACAAACAATTTATGTTTATGATTTATTGAATTTATTTATAGATTTTATAGATGCGGTCATTCATGAATTTATTGCATTATTTATGATGGCGCCTTTGAGATAATAATTTAATTGGCGCTGTATAAATGTCCTGATAATATATATATATATATATATATATATATATATATATATATATATATATGTATATATATATAATTAATAAATTTACATTATACGTACATTCGTATGTATATTATATATATTTATACAGGTGTAATATCTAGAATGTTTATATAAAATATTTGTATGCATTATTGAGCATTGAAGCTCCGTTCGCTGTAACATGTTGAGTTAAATAGAACGACCCATTAAAAAACTTTCTTGACCATTAAGTTTGCAGAATGAATCAGTAGCATTCTCTGAATGAATGAAATAAATTTGTTTAAAAAATGATTCAGCGAGTTTGATATACAACCCGCTGGTGACCTGCATTGTTGAATATTCATCGTGGAGGACAGCCTTTCAAATCCAGGCGGTCATCATACTCTTCTTCGGAATTCTGGGCTCGTGGACGTTTCTGCCAAACGTTCGTTTGTGCTGATGTCATGCATGAAATAATTTCGGAAAAAATGCCTTTCAATGTTTAATTATTTCTTTAGTTTATAATCAGGGCTGTTTGTTAACTTTACCCAAAAATTGTATCGTCATTACTAATATCGGCTTTTAAATATTTTTTCAAAATTGTGTTCAGTCAAAGCTGAGAGAGTCAAAAACTTTTAACAACATGTAAATTTTTCAAATAACTATCTGCATTTTTGAAGTCTGATGAAGAACAGAAGTTGCTTCCCAGTTTTGCTGATGATGACTATTCTGAAGAACATCATCGACAGCTACAACAGCAACCACAGCTGCAACAACAACAACAGCCAGAGCAGCAACAACAACAACAGCCAGAGCAGCAACAACAACCACAGCTGCAACAACTACAACAGCGGCAGCCAACTCAAGAGCTCCTACATCAGGGACAAGATCAGAAACAGAGTTGCGAATGGGCCCCCCTCATGAAGTCCCTGGTGCGGTGCGATGTACTCTGCTGGCTGTTGGGGGAATTCTTTAACTCGGTCTTGTACTACACACCTTTCTACATGCTGGTAGTCCAAATTTGTTTGGAAAATTTTTGATTACATATTTATTAAATTAATAAATATATAAATAATTGAAGCAATAAATAAAAATAACTGAAATGAATGAAGGAATAAAAGAAATAGCGATTGGACGAAAAGAATGTATTTGTTTGAATGTTGCGTACATTACAATAACAATTTTTAATAGTGACAACAAAATGTTAGGAATGCGGAGGTGAGGATTTATAAGCCAGGCAGTTCTTCTTTAGGAATGTCTTTTTGGCGTAAAAGTCATCACTTACGTCCAAATAAAACGTAGAAATTAAAATCAACAAAAAGTATTGTTAGGAATAAATTTGGATGCACTCATCAGCAACAGCAAGCACACAAAACGAACGCAGAGCGCAAACTACCGCCCACCAACCACACACACACCAGTCGCACACCGACCGCAGTCACTAGCCACAAAACAATCATATGGGCGTCGAGGTGGTGTAACGGTTAAGTACCCGGCTCTGCTATTGCCGTGACTGGATTCAATTGTAAAGAGTTTTTCAATGGCATGCAATGCGTGTGGTTGTGTTGTTTCACGTGTGTTTACATGCCTTGTGTGCTTGTTGTTGATGTCTTTAAATAATATTGAAATAAACGAATAAATAAATAAATTAATTAATAAATTGATAAAATAAATAAATAAGTACCAACCACATATCAACCGTTTTATTACGCCGACTAATAGACGTTTTCATTAGACTATATCGGCCAATCATGGTCGCACATCATCCACGCACCTTCGACACATCTTCAACTCACCATTCACACACCATTCACACACCATTCACACACCATTCACACACCAGCCTCACTACATGACACTGAAGAACTTGACAGCTTCCAACATCTCCTTGGTTATGACCGTACTCAGCCTATCGGAATGCATTTTCTATCTTCTGACATCACTTCCGGGAGATTACTTGGCGGGAAAACTGATATTTGTGAGTATCTGCGCATGTTCGATGGCAACCATCTTGAATGCTTGCTGGACCTCCCTCGATTCATCGTACGAAGCCATCCTCGGCCTCGCTACAGGCAGCTCTTCATTATTGTTTTTGAATGTATACAATTTGCAAATAATATGAGGAGATTTTGGTAATTTAAAGTTTTTATAAAAATGACTTGTTATTTTAAATTTGTAATTTTTATAAAACTTATCACAGATTGGTCTAACTTTTTTTATCATTTCTGATAAATAATTATGACATTGGTCGGCGAGTTAGCTCAGCCGGTAAAATTGCCGTGCTTCTCGCTGTTACGCAATGGCCTGGTTCGAATACTCTCCGTCCGATGCTCAATAACTCTATCAGCATATGAAGTATGTTGGTATGGAAAGTACACGAAAGTTTTATTAAAAGTATAGAATGACATGTCCCCAGCTTTGCGTTTGTCAGAATTGCAAAATAGAGAAGAACCTGCAATGGAACAAGAACCACGATATTGAAAACTTCATCGTCATCCTTGTCATCATCGTCTGCCAGCCCAGGGCGGCAATAACTAGTCACAAAGAGACTCCATCTTCTTCTATTTTTTGTAATTTTTTAGGCTTCTGCGATGTTTATGTTATTTATTTTGAAGTCTTCTTTGATGTTGTCAGTCCAGGTCTTTTGGGGATGAACTTTTCTTTTCTTACTCTTTATATGGTTGAATGAGGTTGAATAATGGTAATTTTTCTAAGTTCATCCTGTTTACATGTCCAAACCAAGTAAATCTTCCTCTCGAGATGTTTTCTATTATGTTGCTCTCTTCAACAAGTTTTTTTCTGATGTTGTCGTTTTTCATTTTTTGGATTCTACAGGCTTACATGGACTAAAATTGAAATTTTGCTCCAATCGCCAGCAGCACGAGTTGGATGTTTTTTATTCGTGTGCGTGGAATTGTTATGATTGAACTTTTAATAATGACGTAAAGACTTGAGACTGTAAATGCCTGGTCCACTCCTGTTTATCGGAAATGAGTCCAGCCCAGCGAAGTAATTAATTATTCTTAAGCCAACATCAATGTGAAGGAATGGGAAGCTAATATGTTAATTATTATTACTCTGACACACAATACTCTGACACACAATTCCACACGTCTGTATCACATTGAAATTCTATCCGTCGGTGAAGAAGTTTCTTACACACTCAGAAACAAAAAATTACAGATGGTTTTTATTTTTAAACTTGAACACACACACACACATTTTTTGTTTACATTTCTCAATATTTCTAACCAAATTCTTTTCGTCATTATTTATTTTATTGAAATTAGAATGACATAAAGTTTTCCAATTTATTCTTTCGATATTTGTGGAACAAAAGCCTGGGCTAAACAAATTCCCTATATAAACCGCAACAAGTGCTGAAAATGATTGAACAATCGAAATAGGTCCTATACACTCGAGAATAAATTGGAAATCTGTATATTATTCTAACTTTAATAAAATAAATAATGATGACATGAATTTGGTTAGAAAAATTGAGAAATGTAGTTAAAAAGCTATCCAGAGCTAGAAATTCGGTAGATTTCATAAATTATATATGCATATATATATACATATATAATAAACGTATATATTATGATATATATACACATAGATATATATCTCAATATAAGCAACATCCGTGTATGCCAATGTTAAGAGCATGATAAACGTTGCACTGCAGTTGACGGCTTACTACTGGCGATGAGTTACACCTACTTGTACGCCTGTTCAGCTGAAGCCACAGGCCTCCACATCGACGTGGCATGGTCAGCCACAAACTTCTGCACGGGGGTTGGAATTTCAATGGCTCCTCTCTTTTCAGGTCTGATGTTACTGGGTTTTTGCTGGTTTGTGTAGCTTTGCATGTCTATGTGGTGGTTGAAGAATGTTTGAGATCTCAATATATCTCAAATGTATAGGATCCAATTCATTCTCGATCAATCATCTTCAGCACTTGTTGCTGTTTATATATGTGTTTGTGTGTGATCTAAATGAGTGTGATATTTGTTTGTGTGATCTATGTGGTAGCATTTTGTGATGGCTTTCCGAATTTACAAAGTTTCCATTAATTAAGCAAAAGTTATGCAAAACTATAAATACTGCATGAAGTTATCCAATTTTCTATTTGGTATGACTTCTTCGACGATAGTAAACAACATTAGCGCATGAAAAAATTCTAAGATGATATATTAGTGAAAGTAGTGCTAAAAATACAGAAATAAAAATGATAAAAACACATGTTCTCCTGCCCGTGTGTGCAGGTCTGATATATGACACGACTCAGTCCTACAACAAGGTCTTCCTCTTGCTCTCTCTCGCCGCTTTCATGAACTGCCTCCTCTTCTCTTCCATCCCGCTTATTCAACACTGCAGGAACCGGAAGAAGAACAGAGGTGACGTGAAAACAAACATTAACGACGACAAAATGATCGGAGGCATTAAGAAGTAGGACGAATTCAATTCTTTTTAGCAAGCGTTCGTGCATACATATACGTAAATTATATATTTCCAAACATGTTCCTTTCAAACTCGTTAACATTCAAATAAACAAACAAGCAAACAAATGTTACAAAGTATTGATTTTTGACGTGAACGTGGTTAACAAATTTTTCTTTTAATTCACAATTTGCATCAAAAGCACGGCGAAAAATAGTCAGTCAGTAGTTTATCGACTTTTAAATTATCATTATTATTTAAAAAAAAAATGTTCAGCACATGTGATGATAGCAAAATAACCTTCTTTGCTTGAATTATTTTTTCAAACAGATCTCAGCAAACCTTGAACGGCTGAACGAGGAGCATCATTAATTTTTATTTTGTATTTCAGCATCCGACTTCATTCTTATTTCTCATTCATCGTCAAATATTTTTTTATCATTTTTTTCATTAAACTTTGTTTTCAGCATACAGCAATTCAACGAGAAAAATAACCGAAAAATTAAATAAGTTATAAACGAATGATAAATAAAAATGGTCTTAAATAAAAATTATTAATGCGATGGCACACAAACAAAAGGAAAGGTAGTCTACAATTAAGAATGTCATCAAACCAACAAATCAAGCAAAAATGTATACGCGCTTATATGTAGAATATAACATGTATATACTCTATATGTATGATATGCACAACTGGCGCCGTTTTGGGGATGTTCAACTTCGCAATGAGTTTAGTTTCGAAGCATGTGCGATGTAACTGAAAAATTGTCAGATAAAAGGGTGAAGATTTTCAGAAGAAAGGATCGGGATAGCAAAAACGATGTAAAAACGTTGAACGGAAATTTACCAGTGGAAACAAGACGATTGCAAAAACCAGGTGGTTCAGGCTCAGTTATATATACGTTCAGAGTAACAAATGGGAATAAGATCAATTTATACGCTGAGGAGCTTAAATTGAAAATTATTAATATATAGAAGCCCGAACAACGCGCTATTTTATGTGGTGTTAACATAAAATTTAAAGTAGCGACTTAATTTTAGTCAATTAAAAGCGTCGGTGTCTGATTTTTTAAAGAGCAAAAAAAGTGACGATATTTAAATTGTTTCAGGGAAGCGAAAAACGCCTGAAAAGATTGAGAAATTCTGCCTTAACTAACCGACAAACTCATACGAATAGTGAATACTTTTGACGTGAAAAAATTACCCAAAGATCAAATTACTGTTCCAGTAGATCTAATGAGTTTGTTCAAGCTCGGACTTCTTCGGCTCGTATTCCTTACAATTGCCACTAATCTTACGACCGTGCACGACGCACTGATCCCAGCACACAAACAGAACTGAGATAAGATAGCCTCTACAACGATTCAGTTAATTAAATTATTTTCTATAACTTGACAAGCTTGGTTATCATCCAAGGAACAACATTTCAAAACAAAAGAGATAATTTTTTGATAGTTAACTTTATTTTACACAAACATATTTTTAATTAAAAAAAGCAGTTTCAAAGACACTGATTAGAATAAAACTGGAAATAAAAACGTGAAAATATAATACTCATGAACAACTGACCAATGACTTCTCTGTACAAATTACAAGTTTCACACATACACACACGCACGCACACACAGGCACACAAACACACACGTTTGTAATTCAATTATTTGGAATGCTGTTCCGACGAGTTACATATTTCCCTCCTCCAAAGGTTTTAGTTTGGGTCTTGCTCGTTTTTTCTTCGTCGAACTACCACCAGCTATTGTAACTTCATCGTTTGAGGTGAACGTTTCACTGTCGCTGGGGTTTGATTGCTTGCTGGTACGAGGTTTTGGCTTTGGGTATGAAGGAGGTTCACTTGAGAAACTTGAAAAGTAGGGTTTGGCTTCGCCTGTCATATTGTCTGTTGGTCGAGATCTCTCGTTGTACGCCTGGTCCAGCAGTTGAATTTCATTCTCAACGTGTGGAAGCACGTGTGGCCTGCTCATTGAAAATTTGAAAGATGTTTGATCGGTGGTGTCGGACAAGTAGGAGAAGTCGTCTCTGTAGTCGGTTTTGATGATGAGATCGGAGGATGCATCGTCGTTCCTGTAGGAGGCAGTCCCGTCCAGCAAGGGACGTTTCTTGCGGGGCTCCTCGCTTCGGTAGCTCTCTGAAAATTTAAATTTATTACACTGTTATGGTTGAAAAATGAAAAAAATTTTAGTTGAAAGAACTTTAAGAAATATTAATTCTTTAAAATCAGGGCTGAAACGTGATGTACACAAAATTTAGTTTAAAATATGAAAAACTGTGTTTTACGTGCTGTGAAATCTCTCAAAATCTTTTGCATTACATGCTTAAACAATGAATAAAAAAAATTATTCACTGCTAGTCTCATCCAGATAATGTCTGCTGCCTGACAACGAGTTGAGCGACTGCCTGCTGGCGTGCAACGATTTGTGCTTCCTATCCTCCTTCTCATCCTTCCTCTGAGATGATTTGATGCAACAGAAGATGAGTGTGGGGATGATGACGAAGAAGATGACGAGAGAAGCGAAGACCAGGGTGATTATGATTGGCAGCCAGTTCATTTTCGGCTGGATGAAGGGATCTGCAAAAAATTCAACGAATATTTTTCAAAGTTCACATACTAAGAGACCTGCACGTTTAGACATCATTTGCTGAATAAATTTTAACAAACCCTTTTCGCAGATGAAGGGCAAAAATTGAGAGCAGTCACTTTGTTCGACTTTGTAATCTCTCAAATGTGAGCACATGTTGTCCTTCATTGAGTCCTTATACACCCACGCTTTCCAGTCAATGTTGTAGTTGAACTGGAACCTTTTTTTGCGATAAGTAAATTAAAAGTTAACTTCATTATCTACTATTAATATTTATAATTCAGATTATTTAAGCTCAAGTGGACTGATGCATTCATTAATTTTACTGTGCAACCAGTTAAATTAAGTTAAGTTGTGTTTTATTTATAAGTTTTAATATTTTTTAAACCTTCCCTATCTTAAATAAATTGGAAAAAAACCTCGACGCTTACAAAAAATTCATTAACCTACGACAAACAACACAGCACCAACTATATAAAAAAACTAGCCAATCAAACAACGTTTACTACTCAACAGCCAGCCTATCAAACAACATGGGCCACACAACGACCAGCCAATCAAACAACATGGGCCACACAACGACCAGCCAATCAAACAACATGGGCCACACAACGACCAGCCAATCAAACAACATGGGCCACACAACGACCAGCCAATCAAACAACATGGGCCACACAACGACCAGCCAATCAAACAACATGGGCCACACAACGACCAGCCAATCAAACAACATGGGCCACACAACGACCAGCCAATCAAACAACATGGGCCACACAACGACCAGCCAATCAAACAACATGGGCCACACAACGACCAGCCAATCAAACAACATGGGCCAAACAACGACCAGCCAATCAAACAACATGGGCCACACAACGACCAGCCAATCAAACAACATGGGCCACACAACGACCAGCCAATCAAACAACATGGGCCACACAACGACCAGCCAATCAAACAACATCAACCTAGCAACAAGTTCTCCGAGGTACTTCTCTCTGCCACTTGGATCACGTGCCCAGGCCAGCCTCCCGTTGTTCGTCTACGTGGGAAGAATCAAAAATCATGAATGTTATATGCAATAACATATTTAAAAAAATATTAACCAATCAATTAACTAACTCGACAAATTTTGGAGGCTTGATCGAAGGATGTGACTCCGCCGAAGTACATGTAACATTTCTTGTTGTACTGCTTCCAACCGGGGTAACATTTACCTTAAAAAAAATATGTTCAAATATAAAATACCTCAACGACCAAACTACAAACCATCAAATGTCTTTTGTAGGCTTTGGAAAAATGTTAACTCTTTAAAAATTTTTTTTGGCAAAAATCATCATGTGTGGAGAAAAGAGTAAAAGCTAAATTTCAAAAAAGCTTTTAAATTTGAATTTATTGATGCATTTTAGTGAGTGACAGAAATTTTTTTTAACAAGTACAAATTTCTAAATTCTAAAGTCATTCTAAAATGAATGCTAAAAATGAAAGGATCAACCAACCAACCAATTAGCCAGCCAGCCAGCTAGCTAGCCAGCCATCTAACCAACCAGCCAGCCAGTCAGCCAGCCAACCAACCAACCACTCAACCAATAAACTAACCAACCATTCAACCAGCCAACCAACCAGCCAACCATCCAACCAACCATCCGACCAACCAACCATCAAGTAATGTGGCGTTGTCTGTGATGAATGGCTCAAAGTTGACAGCGATGAGGTTGTCATCATCATAGCGATCCCATATTCTGCCCGACACGTACGACCTGTGGTTCCGACCCCACCAATTCATCTCCGCTGATACTTTCGGGTACAAGCCATCTGGGTACCTTCCGAAGTTTATCAAAATATTTAAGCTCGTTAGCTTTTGAATTTGTAATTTTTAAATTTTTAAAATTGCGGCAGTGCTTTGTAGAAATTAAAATGCTTTTCATTCATTAACCATTCACGGGCGGCGTGATAGCTCAATGGTTAAAGGCGCCTGGTCTTGCTATTGCAATGACTGAGTTCGAATACAAAGAGATCCCCGCCTATCATATGCAATGTGTATGATGCGTGGTTTGCACGCGTATTCATATACGCTGTGTGTGTTTGTCGTTGAAACCTCTGAAGCAAACGCAAAAGAAAAAGAGAAACCTTTAACCTTTTAATGCCAACAGATATACAAGAAGGTAGTGCAATATTAAACTGCAGATGTAAGCTGAAACTCTCATTAAATAAAATAAGATTCATGAATAAAATGTTTTTCATCTGAAGTTAAACTCCATGTGAACAACTGCGATTTTCTATGTTTTGAAGCCTCAAAAGCTCCCATTGCAATAAATCTTACACTTCATTCCAAAATAAAAACATTACTACACAAAACAGTGGGATCCGCTTGAACTAAAACAGTTGTTTAGAACTTTCTTAACCCGCCGGTAAAATATTTTTCTTTTCATTGTTTACAATTTTTCTATTAAAAAAAGTTCAAAATGTTGAAAGGAAAGAGTGTAGCGAGAAAGACGGCAAGTGAAACAGACTTGGTCCTGTTGAACGTGACCATCTCGAAGACGTTGTAAGGGTTGAGGAGGAAGTTGTGCGTGAATTGAAACTTTGCAGATTTCAAACATATCGTGCTCCGGTTGTATGCAAATGCGTGGTTGTTGTAGATGCTGTTGTATGAATATCTCTGGCTTATATCAATCTGTCAAGTCGAAATGAAAGATGGGTCATGTTTAAAAAACAACGAAATTGTAATTCAATAATTATTGTTATTGATGGATTTATAAATTAACTATGTATATATATGTTAAAATTCAGCATAGAATCAGCTGGATGATTGTCGCGTTAGTAAAATATGCATTTCATCGGAACGTCTAAACTGGATTTTAAATATGTGGAAACGATGGAGCTTGGAACGAAGGCGTTCCATAAAAGTCGTTTTGGAAAATTTGAATAACATTCGACTTCTAAACATTCACGCAGAGCACAACATTGCCTGCAAACAACGTTAAAGTAATGAGGCAGAAGTACTTTGTAAATTAAATTGAATAACAGATTGTACAGTTTGAAGTCTTAACTTTCAAATTCTTATAAATCTAAAGGACACTTGAATGGTTTTGTTAACAGTTAAAGATGACAATTACAGTTTACTTAGAAATCCAAAAAACTTCAAAAAAAAAAAAATTAAAATAAAATTCAAAAAAATTTGTTTCAATATGTGTGTACGAAATGAAAATTTTTCAAGATATAATCATTGAGAGACCTTTTCTTGTAGAGAAGCGTTGAGAATGCACTGAGCGACATTTTTCACCAGAACATTGGAGGTGAAGTTCAGCTGCAAGCCAAACGCTGAAATGATGTTTCTGAACTGGACGTCATTATTCGACACGTAATTATGCGTCACTTGGAACTTCTGAAAGTGGTGGCCTTCATGTTGAAGTTGTTATTAACATTTAATCGACGGATATAAATTGAAGTTGGTAAACAAATACATTAGGAATGAGTAAATAATATTTCATGATGAAAAGTATTAATTTAAAATGGTGAATGTTAGCAATGAACGAAAATAAGAAAGACAATGAGAGCAAGTTTGAGGCAGAGGAACCTTCAAGGTGCATTGGTTCGCCGTGCGTGCTCCTCATGATCAAGTTGTTGGTGACGTTAGCGTAGATGGACGACTCGCTACTCTTGGTTGTGGTGTTGATGGTTATGCCACCGGCGCAGTTGGAAATGAAGTTGTTGGAGACGGTGAGGAGGCGTGTGTTCTGCAGAAATATGTCAATCACTCCTGGGAAGGTGTTGTTCAGAACCTGCTCGTTTGTTTATTTAAGTTAACGTTTGCTTGAATGTTTGATATCTAACATGACTAATTTATGGGTGACAAAAAGAGCAAATTTCATGTTGCTAGTACACATACACAAGTAAGTACATTTATTGCGACAAAATTCGTAATCAAATGCAGTTCCACAATCCAGCAATCAATGACGTGCCCAGCTGCTACAAACCACACGCTGCCCAGAACTGCTACCAACCACACGCTGCCCAGAGCTGCTACCAACCACACGCTGCCCGGCTGCTACCAACTACACGTCGTCCAGCTGCTACCAACCACATGCTGCCCAGAGCTGTTACCATCCACACGCTGCCCAGCTGCTACCAACCACACGCTACCCGGCTGCTACCAACCACACGCTGCCCGGCTGCTACCAACTACACGTTGTCTAGCTGCTACTAACCACACGCTGCCCAGCTGCTATCAACCGCACGCTCAAGTGGTCGAGGCATTAGTTGTCGCGTTTTGAGTACGATTTGTCTTCTTCGTCATCTCGAAAAATCATTGGTATTTATCCAATGATTATTAAAACAAACTTGCCCCAATGCTATGTTTCAATTTTGATAAGACAGATGAAATTATCGATTGAACAGTAAATGATATAATTACAAATTAACAAAGAAAGATGTGAGTTAACTTTCAGTCCGCAGTTGACGACGTGGTTCTTTTCGATGACGATGCGTGGGTTGTTCTCTCCGACGTTCCTGTAGAGAATACCTCCTCGCAAGTTGTCCGCCATGTTGTTCCGCGATATCGTCTGCTGCTGGTTCAAACCTTTTTCAGAATTCATCATCAATTCATTATTTTCAGTTTCGAAAATGGCATCCAACGAAATAAATGGAATACATTAACTTCACGCTTAAAAACTTGATGAAACCAGCTCGAATGAGATGTGAACGGAAACGTCCGTGTGTTGAAATACGTAATTATAAACATTGCGACAAAATTAGTAGTCAAGTAGATCACATTTACAAAGTATTTTTGACAATTTTTTGAAGTAAAAAAATTTTAAATGTCGAAAAAATTTAAAATTTTATTGCAATTAGCAATCTTTAATTTTTTAAAAACTAATCAATAAAAAGAACAAAAACTCTAACCAAAATCCGGCTTGAAGCGTGATGATATGGGGAGCGTTACCACCTCGGCTACAAATCCATAACCACCGTAGGCAGTTGAGGCCGTGATGCGAACTCCCAGCGTGTCAAATCTGGCACTTGTGGTAAAGAACTTCTTCTGTTGTTGTATGGTGCTGTTGTAAGTCAGTTTGGATATCATGTGGTCGGGCGCGAAGAACTCTCCGTCGTACAGTTCAACAGCGTTTGTGTATATGGAGTCATTGAAGAGGTTGAACTGAAGAAAACGAAAGCCTATCTGCTTGTGCGGTTCTTTGCTCCTAAATATCTACCGTAAATAAATAAACATCCAAGGTACATAAATAAACATCTATGGTAAATAAATAAACATATATGGTAAATAAATAAACATCCATGGTAAATAAATAAACATCTGTGGTAAATAAATAAACATCCATGGTAAATAAATAAACATCTATGGTAAATAAACAAACATCTATGGTAAATAAATAAACATCTTGTGATTATTTTCAAGACTTTTAGAGATTTTATGAAAATATTTAATGACCTTCCAAGAAAACAAGTGAGACCAAATAATGCAAAAATTAGGGCGTTCTTAACTAAAAGCCAAAATAGAAGCAGTAACTTTGATGCAGTCGACATTATCGAATGAGTATCGGTAGTAAACGAGAGTTCGCTTCTGAATGAGGATGAACTTCTCGACGGTGCACATACGGACGATACCGTGCAAGTTCTGCGGCATCTCACTGTTCTGCAGGGTGACGAACTGCGAGTCATCTTCCGACGACTGACCATTCAGAATGATCGTGCCCACAGCGTAGCCGTTGTTGTTCGTGATGGCACCGTCTAAGATTGAGAACTGATCGTCAGGCGCTATGAAATCGTAACCGTTCCAGGCCGAGTTCTGAATGCTCACGTGTTTGGAGTCTGGAGCCTTCAGATACGGTTAATGATTAACATAACTTAATAGGTATATGTATTGTAAATAAATAAATTTCGCTAATATAAATCTAATATAAGAAGTACAAATTTGCGATTATAAATAAATAAATACATACACATATGTATTATTATTGTTGCTATTATTATTATTATTGTTGTTATTATTATTAAAGAATATTTCACAAGCTTAATTTTAAAAAATTTTCTAAAAGAGCACTGAAAATGAAATAACAAAATTTTAACTGAAGAAATGAAACAGAATTAGTATGTCAAAACGAAATTAACATAAATTCAACACAAATATGTTAAGTATACATAATCCAATACATCATTGTTACTAATACTCTCTCTAATTGGTAATCCTCTGAAAATGCTTTATCGAATTAAAATAGGGCAATACATTGAATGAAGTAAAAATCAAACTTTAATTTGAAAACTGTGCGAAGTATCTAGAGTTAACGATGAATAAAAAACAGGCATTGACAAGTAATAAATAATAATAAATCAACTAATTAAAAAAAACCAACCAGCTAAACAAATTCTAAACCTTATAAATGGATTGAACAGCTGCGACTTTTTCCTCATGCAGGACACCAGCTCCGTAAATGTTGGCGTGATAGAATTTCGAATCGATGCCATTCGAGTAGTCACTTTCGAAGCTGGTCGACGAGAACCTGATGTTCCCCCAGTAGTCGAAGTTCTCTGCCAAGTTGCGATCACCACATCTCATGTAGACGTAGTTGCCCTGCAGCATGCACCTTTGCAGGTCGTAGTTCAGACGGTGCTTGCAGTCGTTCAGATTGCTCTCCGAACCATCGCATATCATGGTCTCCCTCCAAAACCATTCAATGACCTCAAGTCATTAATAGTTGAAATAAACAATATTTAAACATTATTGTTTAAGTAATGTCTATTATTAAATTCTCAAGAGCTTCAAGTTCTTATTTGAAAAACTCCACAAAACTATACTTTTTCCATTAATCGACTTACTTATCCACTCTGTGAGTCACATTGAAATGTTTAAAGTCTCATTTAGCTTCCTCTACCTACAACGTCCTTCATTTGCTTTCTCGCCGTTCACTCCACCAATACACCACCAAAGGTTGGGACACCAATTGTAAACATCCATTCTAACATTGAAAACTTAAAATTCCCCATGACAGCACGTTGACGTAAAATTGAATGGTCATAATTTTTTTCCAATCAAATGCAAAACTAATATTTTTTTGTAACAAAATCTTAACATTCGTTCAAACAGTTTCTCATATTGACAATTAGGATCTACCCCTCAGACCTGTTGTTATGTTGAATAAATCTCCGGCTTATTGTGCCAAAAATAATTAACTAAATTGGCACGTTACTGAATTATTAGCAAAGCTATATGAAGTAAAAAAAGATGAAAAATGGCAGAGGTGAGTACAAACTTGTTCGGCCATGAGTTGATAGCCCAGGACGAATATGTCATAGAACCTACTCCGCTGCACGACAACGTTTGAGTGCTCCTTCTTCATCGTTTTGCAGGCGACCTCTGCTGTCTTCTCGTTGAACGCATCATCACACACTATCGTCCACCTCTGCTCCGTGTTGTTGTAGATCTCCAAGAAACCTCCATTCTCACTCTCCCCTCCCCTCAGCCTCATCTCATAACCTACGTAGGGATGCAAATCTGGGTGGATGTACAATCTCGGCTTACCATCTTCCAAAGATCTGACAGTTGCAAAAATATTAAACAATTATACCAATTGGAATTCATTTCAACTGTACTACTTCGACAGGTTTCATTTTACTGAGTATTCACAGGTAATCACAAACCAATTGAGTAACAAAATAGTTAGACAGGAAAGACCAGATGATTGAAATTTATTAGGAAAATGTCAAAATTAGTTTACATCAATTCAACCTCAACATCATTGCAAAATATTTTGGAAGAAGAGCGTTAATAAAATCCATGCATTGTCATCGGAAATGAACAAGTTCAGTGAATAGATTTCGGCTTAATCGGACAATGGAAGGTTATCGAAAAATCAATAAGAAAATGTGTACAATAGAAATAAACACGTAAAGTTAATATAAGCAGTAAAAATAAATATGAGTTGTAAACCGTATGCTTCTTACCTTTTACTGGGTGTTTTTTTGATTTTAGATTTGTCAACAGGTTGAAAGGTGATTTTGTTATTTGAAGATCCGTAGGCAAAGAGAGATCCAAGTACTAGAATGCCAACACCCGGATAGAACTGCATGGTGACTCCCTCGTCAATCACCATCGAGTAACCCTCCATTACTGTCAAATCTCGTTCAACAACGTAAGGCTGGCTCCTGAAAGGTATCTTGATAGATTCGGATATTCGTCCGCCGAGGGGTTTTGACAGGTCGATAACGTTTCTCAATTTATTTTCCGTTGAGGGTTTAGCTTCAAATGTTGGGTTCATTAGGAAAGGAATGTATTCTGCAACAGCGAAGTTGTTCCAATCGTCAAAATCAAAAAGTCGTTTCTGGATAACAACTTGGTCGATCGAACCCCACCAGTTCTCCGTTACGTCCAAATAGTTTTCAAACTTCGAAGCCGCCTGACCGCCGAGCAGTTCATAAGACATGTAAGGATTGTTGACAAGATTTCTGTTGATAGTGATATTTTGAAGACCTCTCACACCAACCGCATATGAAATCTCGGATACCAAGTTCCTGTCGAAGAGCATTCGCGGACCTTCATTGTTCTCAAAACTGTTGTACACCACAGTGGCCTGGTTGTTTCAATTAAGCATATTGTATGAATATAATGAAACTCAGAATTAAACACACAGTAGAAAGTGGAGTTTGAAATAATAAATTTAATATTACATTAGCATTTTAGTTGAAGTTTTTGTATAAATAAATAAATATCAAATACAACAACACTTTAAAACTGCTAAACGTGAACAGAACTACCGTGAAGAAATGTGATGAAGTAATTCGACAACTACTTGATGGATGAGAAAGTGACAGTTTCAGAGAAATAATTGAATCAACAAAAAAGAAATTTATCACATCCAGGTCAAAACTAATAGATCATAAATGCGCCAACCATAACATGCAAGAAAGATATTTGTGAAAATATTACAACGGCAGCAGGGAGTTACATACTTCGACCCACTGCGTGTATGGCGTGTGGCTGTTCATGTTGACCTCCAGCATGTACCTGTCGTTCAGTTTAATACATTTTGCGCCATCTACAATTTTCTCTTTAATGGTTGTCATAATATTATAGGAATTAAATTAATGACACTCCTGTAAATAGTAATTGATAAAGTCGTGTTCTCACAAAAAGCTGAAAATGTAAAGAATTTTTTTATCGACATTGTAGTGTCTGGTCGGTAAGTGTGTTGTTTTTTTTGGAGTGCATTGTATAATCGTCGTAGCTGACACTTATAGCAGGATGCTGCCGCACACTAAAAATCTAAAATGCAACCAAAATTTTAATGAGGCTGAACATTTCTATGAATATTGTGTCTCTTTTTTGAATTTTGTCCTTAACATATCAATAATGGTATCGACATTTCCAAAGCATTTTTGTTAAATCAACAAGCACAGTAACCAAAAGTGTTTAAAAATAGCAACCATCATACCGGCCCATGTTGTCGCTGACTTGATTATCACGAAATTCAAAATCCTTCTCAGTGCCAGAGAACTCGATGCATCCCCTTTTGCACTTGTTGTGGTGGAATTTATTGCTTGATATGCTGGCGTTGCAGTAGAAGCCACCGATCACAAACTCGAAGTCGTCGTTGTGGCTGAATAGTGAGCCGTTAATGTTGATACTGTGGTTGAAAAGGTCGGTGAACATCAAGTTGACTCGAGGAAATTCAATAAAAAGCCCTCCGGCTTGATTCTTTGTGAATGTCAGATCTGAGACCTGAATCAGTATAATTAAATATTATCACGTATTATTCTTACAAAAATTGAATGAAGCGATGTTAACATTAAGGAAATGTTAAGACAAACGCATCCAAGATTATTCTAACAGACTAAAACGATTGAAGTGGCTAACGGTCGGTCCACTGAATGTCATACGCAGTTAATTTCAAGATGGAATAACTTTACAAAGAATGCAAAGATTCGATCATAGCCAGTATTATGAAGGCATGATTTCATCAAGCGAGAAGTTTTTGCAAAATAAATGCTGCTAATTTTTAATGTTTCTACGCACAAGTGACGCTTGAAAGTCACGAAAAACAACAAAAGCACACGTTATCTATCAAGCAAAATAGTCCGTCAAAGTATGAAATTTAGATTCGCCATTCAAACAGCCTATTTCAAGTATAGATAGAATCACAGCTGCTATCATCAACAAACCTCTTTCAAGCGTGTTCACTAATGCGTTAAGTTATAACTTAAACCAACAGAAGACTAAATTATTTGAAAAGAACGAAAATTCAAGACCTCCCAAATCCAGACGTTGTTAGAAAACCCAAGTCCAACATGAGAAGCCACTATGCCTCCTCCATTGTTCGTGAAGATACAGGAATGAATTCTGTAGGACACCTCAGCTATCTTCAGCGAAGTCTCCAACACGGACGAGGCGGGAAAGTAGAGAGAATTGTACTTGGTCATACTGTACACAGCGATGCTTCCAAACTTGTTGTTGCTGAACGTGCAGTTCCTTACGTCCACCTTCTCCCAGTTGTAACGATGAAAAATGGACAAGTACTCGTCCGAAGGCTGGTTGAAGACGTTGCTGACCATTCCATACCTGTTGCCATCCAATATGTTGTTGAACAAACTGATGGATCCAAGTGGATAGTTCCAATTCCCTTGCTCTGCAAACAAAAATCTTAATGTAAATTAAGTTGTTTAATTTTTATAAGCTTTTGGCAACTTTTTCAGACAACTAAAATCTGTTTTTTTTTCTTAATACAATCATGTTAACGCAACAAACTTTGTAAACAAAAAGCAGTTACAATTCGCTAAAAATATACGAAAAAATGTTTGCATAAAAATCTGTCTTAATTTCAATCTTAACACGTAACTGAAAAAACTGAAAGGGAGTAACTAATCCATGGAAACAGTACGAACTTGATCTGACAACAAAAGCCAATCTGCCAGAAGCCACGCCAGTAAGAGACCACCTGACAGTCATGAAGAACATTTGGGAGACGACAGGGAAGTCAATGATGTCATCGTCAACCACCCACTTCTTCGTATAATCGTTGATGGATGATGCTCGGCCATCGTACACCCAGACTTGTTCCTCTGAAGTGTCCGGATTGTAGTCAACTAAGTCGACCATAACCTAGTTAGTTGGTTTCAAAATATCGACCATAACCTAGTTAGTTGGTTTCAAAATATGCAAAAAAGGCGAAGAACATTTTTTATTTTAACATTACATCATAATATTTTTTTTAATCTTATTTGCAATTGATTCAAATACATTTTGGAAAGCCGCATTTTTTCACAGTTTTTATCCCGCCATATACTTTATTATATACGTTTACTTGAAACTTTTTGAACTTATCTTAATGCTGACAACGTATACAAATTTTCGTAAAATGCAACCAAAATTATAACTAAATACGTTCATAAATTATAAGTAATTTTCAATTTTAATTCAGGAAAAAAATTGTGAGTTATACCCTGAAATGTTGAGTGACCATAAACTCAATCATGAAACTTTTTATCTCTTTAGTGTATTGCCTCTTCGTCATAACCCAGATGACCTCATGGTCTTTCAGCATGATGCTCCTCGTTTCATTCAGAGTGATGTACTTGTGCACACCTGCTCTCACCTGCAGTGCTTCATATGACGTCATTGTTGGATTGTACTCCAACCCCTCCTTGGAATTGTTCTTGATGACGCAATTGGAAACTTCAAAGAAGGAATCTCTGACGGAGAGACCAACACCTTGGTTGCTGCTGACTGCTGAGCTCCTCAAGTGGCAGCCACCGTATGCCTGCATGTGTTTGTACGTTCAAAAATGAAATCATTTTTTCAATCCAGCAAGATGTAGAAACAAGAGATAATAGTTTAGTGAAAACTACAATTGATATACGGTTGCGTTACATCGTAACACTTGGAAATATAATGCTCTAAATCGACGTTACATAGCTATGACCATAATCAAAGACAAAACATTTAATAAAAATTGAACTTGACGATCCAGTTGAATAAATGCAGTAGCCAGAAAAACTACTGAAATGAAACATTTTTGTGTAGAAGATAGATACGTAGTGATTGTATGTTGCTGGGTTCGATCAAGCGAGCATGCGCATGCAAGGCAAAGTTAGTGGTTTAAAATTACTTTTTTAAAGAATTTGCTTGTTAACAAATTGTTTTTCGTGAACAAGGCAGTTTGATAAGAAGTTGTAAATTTTCTTTCCTTCGCGACATATTCAGAAGCGAACATGAATGGACGAGCTGTATTGGATATCAATAGATTCATGGTAAAAACAAATCAAAAATTAGCCAACATCATTCTTCATGATTTGTAAGCCGTCGTGAGCATTGTTTCTGATGCTGAGGTGGTTGAGGGCATGCACGTTGTAGTCGATTTTCAGGGCAGGGACGTACACGGGCACCGATGGGTCATTCAGGCCTGCCCCCTCAATCACCACGTGAGACATTCGACTGGATGACGCACTCCCCAAAAACCTTACCCCTACAACGTTAGAGAATAATCAAATTCAAATTATATATAACAAAGGTTAATTTATCAAACAACAGCACAGCGGCTTAAACAATGGAAGTGCACATTTCAAGCTGTGCCAGTAAGTTCTTTAATTCAAAAGTGAATTGAATGTTGGCTATCAAATATAAAATGGTCAAGCATTACATAATAATGAGCAATTGGGAGCAGCAGAAATGAACTGACCAGACCAGGCGGGATGATGACATCTGACATAAACGTCTTGCGTATGATCACACGAGTGCTCCGTCTGACTCTCGCACGCTAGCAAGTTAACATCCAAGTCACCACAGCTCACGTGACTCAACCTGATGTCCAGATTCAAACTGCTGGTCTTCGGTTTGACAACCTTGACCTTCCAGTCATCAGGACGTATGACGAAGCCCATCATGTTGCAGGCCACTGCCGCATCCCTCATTGTCCATCCCTGAAAATTATTTTTCTTCCGTTCATTTGAAAATATTTCTTTGCCACATATAGGATGCTCAAAGTCATTCAGAACATTTTGCATAAAAAAATTGAGAATCTCTTCCATATTTCTAAATTCAAGAGCATATAAATTTCTGGGGAAGAACCTCATTGCAGACAGTGGACCAGGCATCAGATTCATTCCTGCGAACTTGCAACCATCCTTCAGTTTTCGTGGGTCCACCAATAAATTTTACGAGTGAGGTGTCGTTCACATCTTCAGAAAAGCCATCAAACGTCGACGCAGTATGCGCCAACGATTCATTTTTTAACTTCATCACGATAGGATTTTCAGCGGACCCATCGAATTCAACCTGTCCTTGTATCAACAAGCCGAGTGAGTTTTCAAATTCGAACACTGTCCCTGCAAAAATCATCAAAACACATTTGATTTCCTCTCACGTTTAAAATGGTGAATGGAATTCCAAGTGTTCAAAATCCAAACATGATGCAAACCTGGCTTGACGATGAGTTTTCCAAAAGGTTTAACACTGATATCCCGATCGACGTAGTAGGTGTGGCCTGGTGATGTCGTGAACTCCCTGGTCAACCTGCCTCCAAGTTTGGAACCTCTAACAAACTCGACCTCAATCTCGATGTTCCTGTCAGTGAGGACTGGCCCGTAGAGCCAGGCATACTCCAGCGATGGATGGTAGAGAATGCGAGCCAGATTGAATCGAAAGGCCTGGTCGAATATTCTCTCGATCACGTAACTGTTAACAAGATTAATAATAAATGACGAAATGTTCATTTTATGATACAACTAGTAGATAGGTAACCAAAAAAGATAGAAAGCGCTGATTAAAAAGTAACAATGAAAATGTGAAGTTTGACCGGCTCAAAACAAACAATGGGCAACAATATGGCAGACCTGTAGTTTGTAGTTCCCCACCACTGTTCAGATGCTTGGATGTTGGCGTTCATCTCGAGAAGATGTGTGGAGAGTTCGTACGTGGACTCTCTGTTTATCAGGTGGTTCCTCTTCAGGACAACATTGTCCGAGGAGACGACGAGAACCGCATGTGACCTTATCCGCTCGTTCAATCCCTCCAGTCCACTTTTTATCACATTATCTTCCAGAAAGTTGTACCTGCGTATCAATTTCAACACAAAATTCAGCATCAAACGTTCGCTCCATCCAACAAACACTCGTCATGGATATCGTGTGTAGGTGCGGTGAAGGCTGGCTTAATTAAGCCGCGGTATACATTCACGCATCTGAAATGAGAGGAAAAATATCTTTAAACAGGCTCGCTTTTATTTTATTTGCTGGACCATTTTTTAAGTAGTTTTTAATGTTTTAATCAGGGTATATATTTCCTACAGATAAAATTTTAATTAATTTTCTTCGATTTTAACTAAGCAGAATAAAAAAAACTCTGACCTATTTATTCCATGCAGAATATAAATTGGGTGCTGATGAGAAAATCATAATCAATTTGAAGATAACATGGAATGGTGTATAATGCTTACAACGCACCTGAATATCAATTTCTGGAGAAGACTTCCCTGCGATAGTCTGAGGAAGGCGACATACTGGCCACTGTTTTGTAGGAAGCTGCAGAGATAGAGAAATCAAGTTAGGATACCAATCGTCAGTTTAATGCAAGCATTATAGCTTCTATTTCAATGGAAAGTTTCGTAACAATGAATGGAATAAATCTAATGACAAGTCGAACAGAAACTATATTAATGTTTTAACTTGCGTGAAATATAAAATAAAATATAACACAATTAATATACATTCACAGGTTGATTAATCGCAAAGAAATTATTGAATCAACATGTTTTTGGTGTGGGTGAAAAATTCTTTGCATTAGGTTCCATGTTATTTCTTAATGTTAGGCGTTGTAAGATGAAGCGAAACGTTATTTTACAACTTACTGAGGGTAACACCCATCAAAAATTGTACATTTTTTTGTAATTTTGAAAGCCTATCAGTAAAATTCAACACTTTTTTTTCGTCATTCATTATCTCATCAATTTACAATTATGTTGCATGATCAGCACAGCTACTTTGTCAGCATATGAAAAGATAGCAAATAAATAAGCCATGTAGCGTATGAACTTTTTAATCAATAGAAGTGACAACAAAGCAACATCAAAAATAATAATTTTTTTTCAAACAATGATAAAGCAGTTATGGGTGACTGTATCCCTTGCAAACACCATCAACCCTAACTCTCACCCACTTGTTTCCCTCCACTTCATAGTCCACCGCCATCCCCTGGAGGAACATCAGTCTTCGGAAATCGTCGGAATTGTCAATGAGAAGAACGCGTTTTTTGTGCTGTTTGAAGGTGTTGTTGGCGATCCTGCCGACCGCATTCAACATGGGAGACATCCTGATGGCATGGTCCTTGTTTCCCTGAAATATGTTGTACCTTGTCGGCGTGGTGTTAATGTTATTGGCGATTGTTAACTATCACACAGAATTATTCTAATCTAAACGTAAAAATGTATCATAAATTCGATAAAAGTCATTTTCATTGCCAGCAACCCATCTATCTTGAATAATAAAGTTGGCCATTGTTAACTATCACACAGAATTATTCTAATCTAAACGTAAAAATGTATCATAAATTCGATAAAAGTCATTTTCATTGCCAGCAACCCATCTATCTTGAATAATAAAAAAGCAAGCACATCTGAAGAGAGGGTAAACAGTCGAGTTGAAAAGAACGAACGAACGAAAACTCACCCAATTGTGATATTTGTCATGTTTTGAAGAGGAATATTGTTGTAGCAAGTCAAGAACTCGATTCCATTCTTGTGGTTGTCAAGGAAGAAGCTGTCGTTGACAACATGAAGGGCAGACCTACAAAAATTCGCCACACTCAGGCCGTGACCTATGTTGCCGACAAAAGTCGAAAAGGAAACCTCGGTTCGCTGATGTCTGCATTTAAGGACAACATTTAAAATATCGCGGTGTTAATCAGCGCAATAGTATGATGCAATTTGATGTAATAAGGGTTAAAAAAATATTCTTGCCATTTGACGATGATGTGATTACATAAATTGAGAAGCAGCCTGACCTGGCGTATCTGGTCTTGTTGTCAATGTTGGTCTCGTTGAAAGTGATGTTGACGCCGTTGCCCAGGTTGAAGTTGAACGAGGACCTGTTGAAGATCCTCCAGCCCCCTTCCACTGTAATGTTGACACCATTGTCCATATTGTAAGCGACCAGTGAGGAGTTTATCAGCACATCGCCTGTGAGTATGTCAGTGGATCAATAATAGAGGTCATGTCATCTTTGAATGGTCGAATGAGAATTTATTTCAATTTACGCCATTAGCGTTGTAGGTAAGATTGACAAATTTAATAGAAGTTAGCATAAGCTTACATAACCGAAAGTTTTAAATAAAAATTAAAAAAACAAAATGTTGTTTAAAATGTAAATTGTACAGTTAATAATTGAAATACAACTTAAAAAAAGCTGCAATTATTATTATTATTATTATTATTGATATCTACGAAGTCAGCAGAACATTTTAAGAACTGATTAAACATGAAAGAAGCAGAGCAAGCAAGCAAGCAAACCTGCACCGCCGTAAACTCTCACACCGGCCCCATATCTGTTGTGAGTGATGTTGCTTGCGTTGACTATCACGTAGTTCCTCAAGTTCTCAATGAAGAGGCCATGTTGCATGTTGTTCGTCACCAGAGTGTTGTTCATGAAAAATTCTGGAGCTGAGGCTGTTGGGGAAAAACATTTTAAGATTATGATTCAAGTTGTTTAATTCAACCATAATAAAATTCATTATTTTTTGAGTTGGTTTTCAATTTAAATAATTTCAAAATGACATTAAATCAATATTGCTCGGCAAATAATAAAAACAGCGCATCAATTTAAACTTTATTAGGAGCAAATAAATCAAAATTTGGCAGATCATTAAAGAATTATAAAAAGTCGATTCAATTGAACGGTAGGTGCGTGCATGTAAGCATTTTGAAACAAACGTAAAACAAGGAAGACAAAAATAAAATCTGAATAACAAACATCTTTATAACAACATCTATAAACTCTAAAAACAACAAGTCCACAGACACTAACCAACAGCGGAATCGATGACAATTGTGAACTTGATGCAGGTCTTCAACGTCTCACACGACCTGGAAAACCTCGGAGACCAGGTGAACTTGATGAAGATGTTGTCGTACGTCGATGTAACCCCCATAGGCAAGGTTCCATTAATTATATCGTAGGAGCCGAGGATGGGATAGGTCTGGTCGGAGCCGTCGTGAACAACCAACTTGCCTTGGTAGCCTGGTTCAATGTCCATCTCGAGGACATTCATGGTCAGTCTCTCCCCCACCACCGTCGTGAATCTCTTCAAAATTCAGTGAAGAAAGTTTGCGAAGTGTACTTTTAATGCACAGATTTAAAACAACTATAAATTTAACATAGTGATTGAAAAAAATGACAGTTTGACTTAACCACAGACAGCTACCAGAGTTAAAAACAGTTTCCAAATAAAATTTTTATCAAATGACATAATAACCAACCAAACCAAAAGAATACTCCAATTTATGCATAACGAACCTTGAGGCACTCGTATGAAAAATTTGGTATGCCGTGGATGACCAGTGGAAATGTTTGAAGACGCAGGTGGGACAGGTCACAAAATGTGGCCTCCTTATCGTATATGACGTAACGACCGGACAGAAATTTCACTTTCACTCCGTTTCCATAATTTGACGTGAAAATGTTATCGGTGAGCGTCACGTGACCCAGATGGCTCTCAATTGCGATGCCGTGCCCTGCGTTCGTAACATTAGGCAGAAGTTAATGATTAGTGTTCCATTGCTTGTTTTAAAACAACCAACGGCATTCTAAATGAAATTTGGTAGTTTTAAATGAATAAATAAAATATTATTTAACCCAACGTTGCATGTAATAGAAACTTTAAATTACTAAAAATCTAACACAACCGTTTGTCCATCGGCGAATTGAAATGTTCATTAAAATAAAACAATGAAAAACCAAACTGAAGCAACCAGCCTCTGTTATTTTCAAAGGTGGAATTGTGGACGACAGTGGTTGAATGTACGTTGGTGAAGTTGATGGCGTCAAGAGCAGAGTGGAGGATTCGAACGTTGTAAAGATGGGGCACGTGCGGGTCCGCCCTCAGAGATGGGATCGCATTTCCATCCTTTCCTGATCCTTTTCCATTCAGTCAAACAGATCAACAATTAACTTATTGCAGAGAACATCGATGGGTTGTTGAGCGAAACGTTAAATATCGAGTTAGTTGTGATCAAAATGAATAGGTCAGTTTTGACAACTTTTCGTGAAACTTTAGCTAAACTTTGATAATGGCAATAAGACTATTGTGAGCTGCCATTATGTTCATATTAACTGAATTACGAACGTGAAAAAGTGTAAAAATTGGAAAAATATTTTCATTTAACCATTTGATATCAATCAATCTTATGGAAAATGTTCAGAATGATAAATAATGAGCTATTCGGACATTTTGAAATTAAGAAATAATAACTAAAACTTGTTTTTCTAATTTCTATTTATGATGATGAATTGAACAAATTTTTAAACATCCAGGTAGCATTTGCTATATCTAATTACTTTTTTAATTATTGAAATATGTCATTTATAAAATTCATTATATTATTAAAATAACTAGAAGCGCTTATCATTCACACGTCGTAACAAAATGTGCTAATTTAACAATCAATAAATTAAAAAAATATTATTATCCCATTGTAGGATATGACAAAATGGGACTGACAAAGATCCCAACTAACCGGCATAGAGGATGTCAACAAATTGGAGAACGGAAGTGGATTCATTGGTGCTGATGTGGCCATTGATGACCTTGCGAGTTGTTGTGTTGTAGAATTCAATACCGGACCAGAACTCATTTTTAGCCGGGTTATGTGGGGACAGACCCTTACAACGGAGATGGATGGTTCGTTGGTGGTCTGTTTTTAAGGAGCGTTCAGTGTACAATAAGCACGTAATACAAAAATTTCATGCTAGTAGCAAACTGAACTTTAAAATAAATTAATAAACTTTCAATGAATTCATCAATCCAGTAATACAAACCAACTCAAATTTAATATTTAAAAAAATTATAACCCATTTTGAGTTTTGAAGCAAAAACATTAAAAGTTAAATAATGATACCAGCGAATAAAACTAGAAACATTGCCGTTTAATAATAATTACATATATTTGTATTTGCAATTATTGATTACAATGAATTTGTCGGCGAAATGGTTTATGGTTGTAATAAACTTATAACTAATTCTCGATATCAATGTACCAAAAATTATGGTAAAATGCATTGAAATTCTTAATAAAAAATATTTGTTTAGTTAAATTGTGTATTTTTCAATCTTCATTTAGTCGTAAATAACTTACTTGAAAACAGTCTGAGCTAAATCTTAAAACCACGCAATATTTATCACTAAAAATTCAACTGAAGGACTTGAGCACTTCACTTTCATTTGTTTCATGGTTCTTCATTAAATGAATTCAACCTAACTAACGACAAATATCAAATCCAATCTTGACTTTAGAGTAGCCGGGACACTGTTTAACACTGCTCTCCTTGCCTGCACATGATGGGGCATGATAGAGCATGTACAAGGTGTGGTTGTATGTCCAGGGAAGGAAGGCGAAAGTGCCTGTCTCGAATCCCAGCTGTCTGCAAGCCACGTCAACATCTGCCTGGGTCCAACTGAAATGAAAGCGCAGTTAGTTTTAATAAGAGTGTGTATTTATAAGAGTTTTCAAGAGAAATATTATGAAACATACCGATTATAAAACATAATTTACAATAAAAAAACATAATTTACAATAAAAGTTTGTTGAGAAATCGCTGCTTCCACAAAATTATGAACATTATTATTTCAGCATGTAATAATTTTTATACCCTTTGAAAAAATATCCAAATCTGATGTTTTAATAGTAAGTTAGTAGTGAGTAAATTTTGCTAATAACCTTTTTTGATGAATTTACATCAACTGTTTTTACTAACAGTCAATGAAAATGTAAAACATTACATGCTAAAATATGCAACTATGTGGGTACATATTATAAATAACATTTAAAAAAAACTTGAATTATCATTATAGCCTACCATTATTAAAAATTTTGTTGATATAATTATTTCTACAAATATCAGAAAAACAGAATTTTTTTTATCCAAATTGAAATCAATGAAGAAATATTTTTTCATTGTTAAAAATTGGCAAACATTTCCAAGTTTGATGAGACAACGAACGAAGCAACCAACTTGACGAAATTGGCACAGACACCTCTCCACTTTCCATTGAAGAGAAGTTCCAGCCTGCCCAGGTGCACACTGAAGTCTTCCACCAGACGAATGTCATCGGGCCATCGTGGTTGGTTCAAATTCTCCAGAGATGATTTTGTGAAAACAATTCGCTCATCTGGTGTTCCCTGCCAAGTTTATATTTATTCACGTTTACATGGAAAAATATACTTGGAATTTACAAAAAATTATCGACTTAGAAGATAGTAGAGACTTCATGAGCCAATTTTTAATTTGACATATAATTAATTCTAATATATATATATATTTAATATTCTAATATTCAATACACAATAATGAAATATTTATTAAATTTTAAAAATATAAATTGGTATTTTTAAATTAAAAATTGTAAAAATAAAAAAAAGTGTCATAAAACCCATAGCTAAGCAGTGAAGACTTTGAAGAGATTGTATAATTGTGAAATATACAAATATTATTTAATAATCTTAATTAAATTAAAAATAAAAAGTGGATGGCTTTAGTGAATCGGTTTTGAAATTGGACATTGAAATGATAGTTTTAAAAAATTATTAAGGCTATAAACAAAGATTTAAATTGGAATGTGGAATATTACACAACATGGAGAAATAATACGCTGCAGAACATAATGTTGAATGCAATCTTCTTCTTTTTCATTCGAAGTATGAAAGGTCCAATACAATAAAATAAACTTGATAGATATAACAGACTGATATCAAACCTGAGCAATCAACGTGCCATTGATACCAAGAGTCACAGATGGTCGGAAAACAAGTCGTGATCCAGGCTTCAATGTCAAGGTGGCTTCCTCCATGATTGTCAAGTCTTTTTTTATTTCACATGGACTGTCTAATTTACCTATTGTCACCTATAATGTGGGTATTTTTAAAAATTTTTTAGTTCAGCATAATAGTTTTGTGATTAATCATTTTTATATTACATTTTATGTAGATTGACTAGTAAGCACACCTAATGTGTACAAAAATCTATGTTTTATTTATCCTAAGCGAACAATTTCAAATATACAAAAAATATATAAATAAATTAATTTTATCTCTTATTTTACTACTATCCTTATCCTATCATCACGATCATCACATCATTCCATACTCATTCACTTTTACTTACAAGTTTACAGAAATTAATTATATACTGTAATGAAAACATTACTCTCCAAACCAACTCAAACATAAGTGAAAATCATACAACGTTAGAAACTTTAAGTTTAAGATGAAAATTAAATGATTGGATGAATATGAAATGAAGCTTGCCTGTCTTTGGATAAATCCCCCATTTGATATTAAATCACAATTGAAAGTCGGGGACGCCGTGTGAATCATTAGAAGAGCAAAATGAATTGCAATGAAAAAAGTTAATTCTGAGGACCACATCTTTCCTCTCAAACTTTTTCGATTAGGGATTAGTGATTGGGTTTGCGGCGAAAATGCAATCAATTTGTTATTTTAAACATTTCGGCTTATTTACGGGTCTCAACACGTGATTGAAAATGACAGGTGTATCCAGGTGAGTTAATAATAATAAATAATAATAGCTTCATGATAACCGCATGAGTGAGTATCGCTTAATTAATAAATTAAATATGTAAATCATAATTAAATAACTTTTAGTTAATTAAAAAACTCTTAATTAATTAAAAATTTCCTAATTAATTAAACAACTCTCAATTAATAAAAGATGTTTTATTAATTAAATAACTCTTAATTAATTCTCTTTGCATTTTAAGACCTTTAAACAACTTTTAAAACAGTTTTATAATAAAAATTTTAATGAAGAAAGCTCTGGCCAAAACTTCCACAGACCAGTTTTGTGGTACCTACGTCAGCTGCAGTTTCAGGTGGCCTTAAATACGATTACGTTAAGTTAAGCCAATTCTTTTTGCTCTTCACTGGCTTCCGGTTTATCAAAGAGTTATTTTCAAGATATATTTAACGGTTTTTAAATGTTTCAAAGAAGTCGCTCTAAATATTTAACTGACAGAGTCATTTCTAGAACAATGCCACTGCTGAGTGAAACATTGCGTTCTGACAAATAAGTTTTTCTCTTTGTACCTGAGACAAACTTGGTTTTCGGTCGAAGAAATTTCTCCGTAATGGGTCCTGCTCTCTGGACTCATTTTCCAAGGGACCTTGGTGATCCTGCGTTGTCTGTTACTCGTAAAAGGTTGAAAAACCATCTTTTTGTCCAAAGTCCGCGTTAATGTTTTTTCCTTCCATTCATTGCATTGCCTTAGTAAAGTGCAATAATCGTTAGCGCCTCTGAGATCTTTTTAAAGGGCGCTTACAAACACACCAATAATAATAATAATTTACATTGGAGAATCTAGGGAGAAGCCAGGGGGCATGTGAGTCAGAAATAAAAACCATTTTATGTGTAAAATCGACCAAAAATTAATCGTGATAAGCAAATCGTGATCCAGGCTTCAATGTCAAGGTGGCTCCCTCCATGATTGTCAAGTATTATTTTGATTTCACATGGACTGTCTAATTTACCTATTGTCACCTATAATGTGGGTATTTTTTTAAAATTTTTAGTTCAACATAATAAATTTGTGATTAATCATTTTTACATTACATTTTATGTAGATTGACTAGTATGCACTTCTAATGTGTACAAAAATCTATGTTTTATTTATGCTTAGCGAACACTTTCAAATATACAAAAAATATATAAATAAATTAACTTCATCTCTTATTTTACTACTATCCTTATCCTATCATCCCCCGGTGAAAATTTAAAATTTTTAAAATTTTGCCTTTCCCCCGTCAAAGTTGTCTAGATCCAGCATTCCACATTCAGTAAATAATTTATCGTTGTTGGAAAGAAATCAGAAATTCAGTGGACTAAAATTTCAGTTGGTTTAAAATTTATTACCTTTATATAATTTTTCAATGGGTTTAAAATTTATTATATATAATAAAAAAGAATGAACCAGTTAACGTTATTGGTAACGAATGGTCTTTATTTTATTGATAACCACAAAAATTAAAATACTCTCAACCAGTTTTTTTTTTATTAACACTCCCTATACTTAATGTGAAGGCAATTCATCTCTCTCGCTTCTGCAGAGGGAGAGGAGTCAATTGTTTAAATACAAAAAATATTTACTAAAATTCCATGAATTGAACTGAATGAAGTATAATTAATAACTTTTTAATTAAAGTAATTTTTAAAAATTAAAACTAATGAAAAATATCAAAATTAATCACGAGTTGCGATGTAAAACAACATAAATCCAGATTTCTTAATTTCTTATTACTATGGTACACACCATTATTTATAACAATTAATTATTAATAATTATTACTATTAATTAATTAATAATATTATTAAATATTAATTATTACACGACATACATATTATTGTGTCATAAGCATTAAAAAACACATAGGAAGGGGGATTTCCCTGCATGAATTATAACAGATGAGTAACGTGCAAATCAAAGTTATTATTATTATTATTCAAAACAGCACGGGCAGAGCCCCTTGCCAAACAAAAATATAGAGATTCGAAAATATAAACCATAAATAAATAAAATAGGTAATGTACATAATAAACTTATCTTTTATATATAAATAATAATGCACAAGTCAACACAATAAATAAAACAAACACTATTGATTAATCGTATTAACAATTAAGACCACCGAAAAAATGCATACAAATCAGTTATGTATCAAATACTAAATGTTGAGTGTTAAGTGCTAAATGTTGAGCGTTGAATTTGCGGACAGACAGAGGTCAGGACATAGTTTTATATTTCTTCTTATCATCCTTTGATCAGCTTCACAGGGTATGTTGTGTTGCTGTAATATTGAACAGTGTGTTTGTATGTGAGTGTGTGTGTGTATGTGTGTGTGTATGCATGTATGTATGCATGTATGTGTATATGTATGTAATGCTACATTTAATATGTTGAAGAAAATGTGTTAGTTTGCTTGCATGTATGCTTACTTCCAAGTTTGCATAAGTGTGATTACATTGTAGTGTGCACGTACGTTTCTGTCTGTGTGTTAATGTATGTCCAAAGGTGCGTACCATTCTAGGCATTCGTTTGTGTGTTTAGTTGTTGGGCAATATTTCAACAAATTGATGTTGTTGTACGTCTGAATTAATAATATATCTTCTCCATGTGTTTATGGACTTATACATTGTGTGTAAATGCGTAAATGTTAATGTGATAGTGTGCATGTGTATGTGTGTGTGTGTGTCTGTGTGTGATGTGTGTGTGTGTGTCTGTGTTTATATAATTTTCAGGTGAATTATTAGAATTATTTAATTATTTATAAAGATCACTGCGTTTTTGGCCGAAAACGCAGTGATCTTTATAAATAATTAAATATAAAATTATTATAAAATTCATTAAGGAGCGCTGTTGAACATTGCGGAAATAGCGCTTTATAAGCTAATTGATTGATTGATTGAATTGATTGTACATTAATTTTAGTGTTTGTGTTTAAATTCTTTTTTTTTATTATTACAACTTCTTTGCTTCACTTTTCCTCTTTACTTTTACCGCTCGTGTTGGTGGTTTGGTGGAGTAGTAAACACTCTATTTTTTCTATTATCGTACCTGATTCGCAAATTTTTAACTTATTAATAAGTTTTGTAGCACAGAGTTTATTCTTAATTCTAGCATGTCTTTCCTCAGATTAACAATCGATCAATCAATTCATTGGAGACAGCAAAAAAAGAATTTCAAAAACCTCAGGTTCATTTTGTTTTATTTATAGTTTATATTTAATGATGTATTAACTGAGCTATCTGATTTCATTTATGTAATACATTTCGAAGAAGTTGTATATCAACTATAGAAGCAGATAAATTTGGTAAGGCAAAGATTTTCAAAATAAAATCAATATTTAGAAAAAAAAGCTTATTGGAGTGATGCAGTTGTAACACTTTTATCAACTACAGGCTATGTTTTGAGCTAAATGCTGTGGGTTGATTAGATGAAAAGGTTGGTAAACAAGTATGAAATCACACTTTCTGTTGTTTACATAGAATAGTATAGAAAACTTTAAATTTGGCTCCATCCTTTATTAATATTCATGACCGACCGAACCGCTTTATTTTTTTCAATTTGTGATTTTTTTAACCGAATTGTTTCATTTTTTTATATTTGTAATTTTTAATAAAATTCTAATATCATTATTTATTATTTTTAAAATATGTTAAAAACATGAGAACTATTTTATTTGCACATTATATTTTCATATAAAAAAAAGACCGAAGTATCCTCTATTAATTATCGTTAGTTAATAAAAAAAATACAAAAAAGTTTCAAAATTTTAAACCACGTTATAATGTCGTTTAAGTTCCAGGGCTTTTTGGAACCGCTTTTTTCTGTCTCCTATGGTGCGCAGCCACATAAATTCGTCTAGCTACGATTGTATGTGAGCATCGCACGTACCATTCATTTTCTTAAATTTTTGTTTGGCGCATTGCCACAAATTCTCCACTCCATTTGTATGCATTCCGTTTACGGCCCGGAATGTAATGGAGTGATTTATGGTTTGGTGGGCTAGACCGGTTAAGGCTGTTATTCTGTTATAAGCAGTCCATTGATCCGTCCAAACTGTTGTACCTAAAATTATTAAAATCGAATTATATTTCATAACAAACAGAAATGAATTTTAAAATATTAAACTTTATGAAACCAATTGGGCAGAACATGTCGCTGTATCAATGGCAACAACGTGGCAGCATCTCGTTTATCTACTTCCACCAGAAAGGCATATTTTGTTTGCTTATCGATGCCTCCAGAAACCCAGTGTGTCCTAACTGGACGTGCATTTCGGTTCCTTGATTTTTTTGCAGATGAGATGCAGCTTTCATCTATCTGAACGATGTGTCGGGGGCCACCTATTCGTGCAGGGTTATCACAAGCCCAATCAATGCATAGATCTCGATGTAAATTGAACCAGTCAGGTAATGTGTGCCCGACGTCCAAATCTAAAATCGACGCAACCGTAGCCTGGCTAACGTCGTACATGGACCAGAAATAAGTCATTTGTTTGAATTTAAAACAATACGCATCATCATTTTTAAAAAAATTAAATTTTTTATAAACAATGAAAAAAAATCTTACCAAAATACAATTTGTAAGGGATATTTGGCTATGGCTGTAGAAACTTCCATACCTAATTGTTTTTGTGGTGCGGCACCTGGAGTTTCTACACCTCCACAAGTAACCATCTGTCATTGTTGCACTTTCTGCAAACCTTTTGTTTTATTATTTTTGAAAAAAATCAAAATCTGACAAACGAGCAAACTGTACAGCATGCAAGGCAGTAGTATGAAATGATAACACAAAAATAGTTAACGGAGAAAAAACATTTAAGCATGAAGCAAACCTCATGTCTGCAAGACGGCGGCATGTTATAGTGGCTGCTATCAAACCATGCTGTTTTGCCCACCTCACAGCATCTTCTTTCTTTAAAATATAACCTATCAGTTTCATTAAATTTAGGCTTTTTTATTAAACTGTAACAGATAAATGAACCTTATTAACAATATCTAGTGTTGAAGTGAAAGGTTGCTCCATAGCAGCCTGGTAAGACTGCACAAATTTTAGCAAGGCCAGTAGCTATTACTTGACAGGTATGTTCATTTTTTATGGTAAAGTTAACGTCTTGTTGAATAACTATATCTTTACAACCATTTGTTTTCTTAGCGCATACCCAAGTGGTCTTTCCTTTTTTTGTTTTGCTTTTAACTGTTAAATTGTGCCAATCACTGGAAACTAAATGATCTTCCCCTCTTTTAGTTGCCTGTTTAACAATTTCAAAGGCAATCATGGGTGGAATTTGCACATTTTCTGTTGTTATGGCTAATGGTGCAATTGTTTGTTCTTGAAAAATTGATAGATTTTCTGTTATGGGTAATGGTGCAATTGTTTGTTCTTGAAAAATTGATGGATCTTCTGTTATCAGCATAGGAGTAATGATTTCCATCAAATTATGTTGTGTTTCATTATTTGATATGCAGCTATCATTCTTCTCGGCAGAATTAAAGAGTTCAACTTCAACTTGATGTCGATGGTCAGGGTTTTTCACTACTTCGACACATTTTTTACAAATGTGTGGCGAATCACTCCCATCTATTATCAAAATTTGAAATTAAATTAAATTTACAAGACACATAAAAAGATTCAACAACTAAAATATTATAATTATATCAGTCTAACTAATTCACTATTTTGGTTCTATTTATTTGATTTTATAAATTGCAAATAATTGAGTTTTTGACCTACATCGATTGTTTACAAATATTTGCTATCTCTTATATCGCTATCTTATCTCTTATACACTATCTCCTATTTAAGGTTTGCCTTACCTTATCGCATTATGTATATAACAGTTTATATTATTTGCTTTATTATTAATTATTTAATAAAAATTAAAGAAAAATCATAAATTAAAAATATGAATAACTATAAAACTATTTTCTTATTATTGACCTGTCCCATCCAACCCTTTGTCTCAACCATCCCCACTCTCCCTACTTTGTCTTGCTTTACTATATTGGTAGGTAGTGTAGCCTGTACCACATTTTTGATGACACCATTTTGTAATCAATCAATCAATCAATCTTCGTTTAGCGTCCAGAGACCCAGTTCCCCCGAGGTAGGACGTCATCTTGTACAAACATCGCATGTTAGTGCATGTTGTTTTGCAGTGACTTTTTGCAGAAAATCAAAAGTAAAAAAAATAGAACAAATAAACCGTACTGAACAAATAGGAACTGGAAACTATTAACTACGATTTTGTTTAGTTATTACATAGACATAAATAATAAATTATAAAGTTTTAATAAATTTAAAAAATAAATTTAATAGTTTAAGACCGTAATAAACAAATAGGAACCGGAAACTATTAGTTTTGTTTAGCGACTTTGTTTAGTTATTACATAGGCAAGTAAAATAAATTACAAAGTTTTAATAAATTTAAAAATTAAATTCAAAATTTTTTTGGATTGAAAAAATTATTAACAAATTTTTTGGACCAATCGTCTTTGATTTTTGGACCAATCGTCATCAAATATTTTGTCAAAATTTTCCCCAACTTCATCAGTCTTAAAAATTAAATTAATCTTTTTAATTGCGTCATATGTGGAATTCCACCTTGTAACCCCAAGCGTAACAAGCAACATTGTAAGTGGTTCTGCATATGTCAGTGCTGCAATAATAAAAACTAAAAAAAAATTGTTAAACTTAATTAAATCAACTGTTTCGTTGTTCAGCCACGTTTCTGATATAATAATAATTTTGAAAAAATCGTCGAATTGTTTTAATAAGATTTCTAGATTTAATAGTTTATGAAACAAACTTCGAGCATTCAGATGAATGATTGGTAGGTGATTGTTTTTAATATTATTCTTCAATTTTATTACGCTAGATAATTCTTTAACCATGTAATATTTTGATTCTCCAAAATTCTCTTCTATGAAGTTTTTATTCATTGCTATTTTTGGTTGAGACATTTGCCGACAGGTCATTGACAACATTTGCCGACAGATCATTGAAACACCATTCGCGTACTCTGACTTGGTCTGGCCAGATTTCTTTCTGCATTCATGAACTCAGCTGAGTCTGTTTCATGAATACAAAATCTGAAAGCAGCACTTGTCTGTTGAACATCGATTTTGTCAGAGTTTGTGTCTTGTGTGTTGTTCGATATTGTAGTTTGTTTTGAAAAATTGATTAAAACCAAGCACCTCAATTTTCAATCCATTTATGTGCTCGCTCAACTCTTGTAGTGCATAGTTGGTCCAATCGACCAACGTAAAAAATTTATTTGGCGAAGGTTTCATCGCTTTCAAATTTGTTTGTTTTTCAGTTTGGTTGCCTATAACTGTTTTCATATTTGCTATTTTTGTATTGTGTGTTATTTTCTTTGTTTTCAACATGCATGTGTTTTCTTAGGTCCTGTCTTGTGACGCTATTGACCTGCAGTGATATTTAACTTGCAAAATTCATTCTACTTAAACTTTAGTTTTACTTACACAAAAATCATTTTACTCAAGTTTTACTTTTAGTTTTGGAATTCTTTTTACTTATACTTATACTTAATTTTAGAGTAATTCTTTCTACTTATACTTACATTTTACTTTTACTTAATTTTTTAATCATTCATGGTTATAATTCGGTACTTTATTTATTTCCAAAAACACATTAAAAACAAGGACATAAAAATAAAAATCATTAAAAATTCAAGTAAATTGTTCAATTAATGGCATATTTAGTTTTAAATACACTCTTGTGGCTAACATTGTTCCCAATTTGTTCCTTTTTCCAGATGTAAGCATCTGACAAACCGAAAAAATCCTCTCAACGTAAGCTTGTGAAGCAGGTGCAGATAATAAATCTAACGCAACTGGTGCAAGTAAACTATATTCAGTTTCTCGTGATGTCCAAAAATTGAAAATATTGTCGATACTATCAAACTTGATCGATTTAACATATTCCATGTATTGGTTCAACTGTTGCTGAATTGATGTTGATGTTTTAGTAGCCGAAACTTGGTTTTGATTTAAAATCTTTTCTGCTACAAATTTGAAGCGCTTTGCTTGGGGAACGACATTATCTACTTTTGTGTTTGTTGTTTCTGAAAGAACCTCAAGATCTACTGCATGGTATCGGCTATAATGCACCATCTGAAACAAAAATAATTTAGGTAAAAAAATTCAATGAAAAAGTATACTGTGAAAGATTAAGTAAAAATGAAGTATATTTATTAACCTGTTCAACAAGAAATGATTTCGCAGACTCAAGCAGTCTATTTCCATCATGTGTGAAAAGAACAGCTGCCAGATTGGGATCAACCAAACAAGCTGCTGCTGGTAATGGGTTGTAATCACGGTTCGAAGGGTTTAAGAGAGTCAAACCTCTTGCGAAGCTCAATCTGCAGACATCCCGCTATTTCTTCAGTTAGCAAATACTGATTGAGATGTAAATCGATGTCCAACAATGAGGGAATTACTAATGAAAGATCAGTATAATCAGTCTGTAAAATATCTGTTTGAATTGCAAATGGTTCAAGAAGACCGACGAGGTCTTTCAATTTTGCCCACTCGTCAACCAACAATGAATCAACCCCTATGGAAGTTAATACCTCAGTTGTTGCTGTTCGTATTTCTAGCAATCTCTTAATCATTCTAAGAGTGCTATTCCATCTGGTATTGTTGTCAGCAACCACTGTCTTTCCACATCTCGAAATTAGCATCTCAGTTGCCTTCGTTGATTTCCGTATTTTTGTCACTATGTGACTTGCCTTACCAATGAGTTCGTTGTATTTGTTGTAACCTTTTTTTATTATCAGCTGGAGCGTATGTGACATGCAGGCCATACGCCTGAAAAGTGTTTCTGCTGATATTGGCAGAGTTAAATCCAATTCTACCTCACTATCTTCATCTCTAGATGTTTCAGATGATGAAGAGTCACTTCGTTCATTTCCAACATCCCTTTGATTTTTTTGTTCTTGTTTCTCTTTCAATATTTTCACTGCCTTGATCATGTTTGAGCCATTATCTGATACAATCATAAGTATTTTTTGTGGACTAATATCCCAATTTTTTAAACAAGAGCTTAAAACCTGAGCCAACTGTTCTCCGCTGTGAGGATGAGAAAGAGGTGTCAAATGCAATGTTAAATGTCTTACCATTTTGGCGCCTGGGTCAAAGAAACACGCTGAAATTCCTAGGTAAGAACACGATAATCCCTTTTTCGTCCAAGCATCAAGGCATATCGTGATTTTTCGACTAGTCGACAACATTGCCTTAATTTTTTTCTTAGAGTTTGACCAAGTACTGTTTAGCAACTTAACCAGTGTTCCTGAAACTGATTGTTTAAAATTATGTCTATATCGATGTATAAAGAATGGCGTAATGAATGCAAAACAAAATGAATAATCAACCTGGAAGTTTAAATTTTGGATCTGAAATGTGAAACATTTGCCTAAAAGTTGGATGATCCACAATTGTTATTGGAGATCCAGTTCCGATAACCATTTTCATAACTGCTTCAACACGTTTGTCATGCTCTTTTCCTGACCATTGACTCATATTTGAAAAAAAGGACTTGATGTTGTTTTTCTCATGTTTGGCATTACTAACAGTAACACAAGATTTGCCCTCTATTTGGAATGACATAGAATTTTTATAATAGGAATGACATGAAAGTTTATTAATTAAATTGTTTATGTTATGTTATATTTTATTTATTTTATTTCACAAAATTTACAACCAAAACTATTAAATTATACAAATACTACTTACTTTGTTCTTGAGATGCAGGCGTTTTAATTTGTTGCTTTTCTCTGTCAACTGACTCAACAAAATTAGAGACTGGAGCATGTTTTGATTTTAAATGTAACTTCAAATTGCTGGTGTTTTTACCTGCCAACAAAAATCAACATTCTTCACCCTTTTCATCTAATACAACACATTTACTTTTCTTTATCTCTTCATCAAAAACAAAATACTCCCATACTGAACTTTCTTTTTTTCTCCCTGACATCAGTTGAACTAAAGTAGTCATTTTGGCCGAAAATGAACAAATAACGAACAAAAAGCAAAATAGGAGTACTGTAATTCTAGTTGGTTGAGAATAAAGAAATAGAAGACACAAATAAAAAGAAAATGGAACCACGTGCTTTGTGAAAAGTGAACTTCCCCAAAGATCATAATTTGCAAAGATTTAAAAAAATTAATTTTGAGTTCAAAAAAATTTTAAGTATAAGTAAAATATTGGCTTTAAAACTCTTTTTACTTTTATTTTTACTTTTACTTACAATAAATTCATTTTACTTAACTTTTACTTTTACTTAACAAATTCTTTCTACTTATAGTTTTACTTACACAAAAATCATTTTACTTTTACTTTACTTTTACTTAAGTTAAATATCACTGTTGACCTGTTGTTATTCATATTAGTATATAAACTGGATATATCGGCCGTCACAAGTATTTGTTGGTTGTTCGTGAAGGTGGTCGAATTTTTCTTCACAAAGGTCTTTGTGTCTTTTACAACAAATCTCAAGTGTTTTAGGAGTTGTTTTAATTGTATTTCTACAAATGTTGACGATGGCTGGTTTATTGATTCTATGTCACTGACAATGGGTCTTCCTTTTGGGTTGTACTCCTCAAACCAGTCCTCTTTTTCTTTGTGGATTTTTGGTAATGTATAGAAGTATCTTGTCCTGGGTATAATAGGTGGTAATAGGTTGGAAAAGATTTTCCTGTTGATTATTTTCAGTTGTTTTTATTTAGAGAGCAAATTAATTATGTCCTGTCCATTATCAATTGGACCTGTAATTTTCTTGCAGAACTTTGTATCAGCTAGTTGGCTTTCTGCCTCTTTGATTTATCCATTATCACAAAGACACTTCTTTTGTCGGCTTTCCGTAATATGATGATGTCATTACTTTTTATTTCAAACAATGCCTTCCTTTCTGTAGGGTTAATGTTTGTTTTTTTTTCAGATTCAATTTTAGGATTTCATTTTTGTTCTTTGATATGAATTTTTGTTTTAATTCGTTTATTTCATCAGTGTCTGCTATACAGTCATTTGATAACTTAGATTGTGGTGGAATCCATTTTGATTTAAAATATCTTCCGTAGTCCGGCAGATAGGGTAGTGTGTTTTTATTTATGTCCTTATTGTTGTCGAAGAAATCATTGATTTTAATGTTCCTTATTAGTTTATCGATTTCCTCCATTATTTCCGTTACTTTCATCTTTTTAGGTGTAATTATGAAACCCAGGCCTTTCTCTAATAAACTAATTTGGTCTTTGGTCATATCCCATTTGGATAGGTTCAGGACATTTTCTGTGGACGCGTTAAAACGGCAGGTTTTTTTGTTGATATTGTGTGCATACATTCTTCCAATATGCTTCCATAAAACTACGTATGCACGTACAATCATTATTGTTTCTGCATGATTATTGGTTGCTGTTTGTCATTTCATAAACGATTTTATCAGCGCGTGTGGATCTTTTTTTATATTCTCCACATTGCAATTAGAATCCTGGAAGGGCAGGATGCTCTTTATTATGTCCAGAAACATCTGTTTTAGATGCTCCTTGGGATTTGCGTTGATGATGATGTTTTTGTAGACCAGATAACCGTCTATGTTCTTTGCATCCTTGTCAAGGAGTTCATCTGCTCCTTTTAGGCAGCTGAAGATAATCGTGTTGTTCCACTCCTTTGTTTTCCTTCCCAGTGAGCTTGTGGGGATAAGCTTCTTTGTTATACTCGTGGATCTTGCAATCAGATCGCTGCTTTCTTTCTCCTTTATTGGTTTCTTTGTCTTGAACTACTTTTGGGCTATTGTTATTAGCCGCATTACTCACCATTTTTCTGAAGATTTTTTTTTCAATAAATAGTTCTAATTTTTTCAACTTTTTGTCAAGAATTGACTCAAATTTAGCTTTTTTTAAGCTTGAAATTTTAAAAAGGTTATGATCAGCATATTGAGGCAATTTGCTCTCAATTTTGTTGCTCAGAATAGTTTTTATTGTCAGTATTAAATTACTAACATTGCCCTTTTTAGAATTTCCAGAACTGTTTGCCTTTATTTCATCATCTTTTTCTAGATTTAATGCATCTAGATTGCTGGTAAGTTTTTTTTACAATTCTAATATTCTCACAATTATAGAAATTCATTATTTCGTAAATGAATTCCGTGTAATCGATTTTGTCAGAATTATTAAACAAATAACACAATAACTCGTTAATGCAAACTGCTCGCGACATCGTACCGGAAACATAGTTATCCTTTTCATTTCTATCACACACATATCAATCAATCAAAACATAGTAATAATAATAATAAATAAGATAAGAACATGGCATGCATCGACCTTAATTACATTACATTTTTCTTAGTACCCGTCAGTCTGTTTAAATCGGAGATCTGTACTCCTATGCCACCTATGGTATCGTCATTGTTTACATTCTGTCCCTTTAAATTTGATTGACGAGCCATTTAAACCATAAATATTAATTACCACTGAACAGCATCCTTTAAAAGTTCATTTAAGTTAAAATTTTTGAATACTTTGCATGTGATGTCACATCTCAAAGGTTATCACGTTCTTCGTGTATGTGATATGGTGATAGTGCGTGCAATTGCGCACGTCATTCGAAGAGCTGTTGAACGTCACAAAAATACCGCTGTATAAATAATGGACGTTTTTTAAATAGTCAAATTAAAAGGTTCACGATTGCGCCGAATTATTAAAATTCAGAAACAAAAAAGATAATAGTTTTAATTTAAAATTTTTATTTAAACAAAATTAAAATATTTACATGATATACAAGACCAAAAGATTCTTAGAATTATACAGGATAATATGTACGAATGAGCTCTAAAGCTCTCTGGAACGTCACGGTTCCTGACATTGCGTTGCCACAAAAATTCATCAAGATATGTAGACATGTGGTCATTACATGTACTATTCATCCGTTTGATTTTTTGTTTGTCACAGCGATGTTATTAATGTGTTTGAATTTTGTAAGTTTATAGGTGATTGACATGCACATGTTCTTTTGTCAGCTAGAAGATCATGAAAAATTTTTCTACTTAAAATTATTAAAATTGAACTATATTTCATAACCAACCAAAATGAATTTTAAAGCATTAAACTTTATGAAACCAACTGGGCAGAACATGATGCTGTATCAAAAGCAACAACGTGCCAGCGTCTCGCCTTTCTACTTCCATCAGAAGAGCATCCTTTGTTTGCATATCAATGCGTGCATTCTGTTTCCTCGATCTCTTTGCAGATGAGATGCAGCTCTCATCTATCTGAACAATGTGTCCATGGCCACCTATTTTTTACGCTGTTCATAACGTAAATTGTTTCATTTTATTTCATAATTATAATATTGACTCAATTTTCTCTTTTTTTGTTATCCCTAATTTTTAATTTCATTTCAATTATTCTAGATATATATGTGCTGCTTAATTTTTCAGTTGATATTTCTATTTTTGGTTATGTGTAAATTCTGTTCACGAGGCCATCCATAAATTAGTATTTTATTGCTAGGATGAACCTTTTTACTTTTGTAAATAAAACTGTTCAAAAAAAAAAATATCTGCGCAAACACGTGGTCTACACATACACACACGTGCGCACTTAAACGCCGAGCAAATAAATAAACTGAGATATCGTAACACACACTTATGTTGAGTTGAATTTATATGAAATAAAACATAAAATATCACATTATGAATTAAAGAAAGAAACAGAAAGTTAGTTTTAAATGTTTTAAAAGTTTTAAAACGTCATTTTCTTATTTTTTTTCACTTTTAGTTGTATTTCTTTTGAAAAATATCTTTTATTAAGTTCTCAGTACCAGCTTTGTCAAGATCTGGGACATAATCATGAACTGTATCTGTAATGCAAAATTTGAAATTTTTTGAAAAAATAACTAATACTTCTTTGGTTATTATTTACCTAAAAATATTTTGTAGACTGAATCTTTAAAGCATACTTTTTTTGGATCGTTTGGATCGTTCACTGACTAATAAGCCAAATGTTAAAAGTAAAAATTATATTGCTCCAAATTTAAGATGTTACGGAAATTTTAAAAATAATTAAAAAATGATTTAAGTTTGTTATAATACCTATTTTACACGATTTTATCACCAAAATAAAATTAAAACATTGGAAAATAGCAACAATCAACAAGAATATATAGGCATGCACGATCGGAACGAATAAAGAAAATTAAAGGAAGTAAAAAAGATTAACAAAGAAATTTAACATGCTGCTAGTTAGTCTACTTGCATCTATGAATTCCAGTAGTTTAATATCAACCTATCAACTAAATAATTTGTATCTAATATTTATGTAATATATTATAAATGCAATAGCCTAATATGGTCAGAGTTGAAAACCGTGAAACGTTCACCTTGCAGTCCAGATATATAGCTATCGAGACGTCCATGTAGCTATGACTAT